GAAATGAAATATAGATATGTAATCGAAATCTACTACATATATGCCTGTATGCTAGGTTGTTCAGTTGTTCTCTTGTACAAATGAATTGTATCTAGTTTCTGAATGCTCCAATAAGTTTATTATAGCAAAGATATGTATGTTAAATGAAAACATAATAGACGCCCACACCCACACCCAATCTATAGTCCCGAATATATTTTCTTATAGTCAACATTCGATTTGATAAAACTGAAGCAATCTTGGTTAAAAATGAAATAAAAAAGAAGATAAGATGAAATTGCGTTTATACTGTAAAAGCATCTCCAACACATGCGCCTGATTTTTTTCTACACATCGATGAGTCATAGAGAAAACAATGACACTTTTTTCGTTAAACGAGAGATAATGTGAGTTGTTGAGAGTTTTAAGAGTAAAATATTAGTACATAATGAAACGAGCATGAAATTAAAAAAATGCTGCGACAAGTAAATATTTTTTTGATTGGTAAGATTTTAAATCATAAAATCACGCAACATGTTTTGAGATATATTTCCATTTAGTTTATAGTTGCGTAAACATAATTTCGCCGAAAATATTGCTCGAATGTAATTTTGACAAATTTGAGGTGAATCCTTGTTTTAACAGTGATGTGATGGTTGTTTCTACTCTTGGTGATACTGTCGACTCTAATCCACCAAAGGGCCCTTTATCAGATGTAACATCAATCAGTGAGATAAATTATGATTGACTTGCACTTTTAATTTTTTTCTTCTTTCAAGTTACACCTACAGAAAATGGTGAATTATGTAAACTACCCTATAGAATCAACCCCTACATTTGGGATATGTATTTCTGTAACGAAGATTATTGTGAAACAGCAACAAACCCCAAAAGCAAATGTGCATCAGGTAATTGCAGAGTATATTCAAAACATCGATATCAAATATATTTTGAATCTGTAAACAAATAATTATTTTAGGTCGATTCGGACATGTACAATTGTTCAATACAAATGTCTACTCTATTCCTCTTAAAGCTGGCACAGGTGGTATCGATGGGATAAATGAACAATGTATTATTTATTATTATTACATACCCGACAGTGTTGATATTCAAATGAGTATTACACTGCGCAAAGTAGAGAATGATTCTACAACTGAAGTCATCGATTCTGTTACCAATAGTCTATTCAATGGATGGGCACAACGAAAAATCGATTTTCAAGCAAGACAATCTGAATACATGGTGAGACCTTTTTTTAGAGGTTGCTTGAATTTTCAATGTTAAACAAAATATTTCTTTTCTTCTAGATTTATTTTGATTTTCAGAAAACCATTGGTATCTTACCTTCGTTTGGAATTGACGAAATTTCAATCCATCAAGGTCTCTGTTGTAGGTAGAGTTGTATTTTTAATAATTTATATAAAATAAATTTGTGTTTTAGCTGACGCATACGTCACTCAAAGTACAACAAATGAAGTATCAACATCAACTGTTTCTATAAGAACTACGTAATGTTAAACGTTTATTCTGTTTATTATCATATACCTATTCTCCCTTATTGTTATCATAGTGAATCAGAAACATCAATGGCAATCACAATGGAATCATCTACAGTAATAATTTTGTACCTTTCTAGAACTATGAAAATTTAGAGAATTTCAATCGTTCAGATTACTGCCGACGAGTCGACCACCATCAGCGAGGAAACCGTTACATCGGTAAGTGCAAAGTCTGCCGACATATTGCATACTACGTTTGAATTTATCATCAATAATAAATGAAAATTCATTTTCTAAAGGTGACTTCTTCGACAAACACGAATACAGGCGAAATAACAAGCAGGTTAGAATATAAAAATGTTACATTGCCAACATTCGAATTTTGATCTTGTCTTCTAATTTGTATTGAACAGCTCGTCTACAATGACGATCACTCAGACGACTTCAACCACAACATACCCCGTAATATCAACAATGGTAATATGGATAATTTACCTATCAGATCTGAAATCTTTTTAATGATTATCACGTTAGACAGAAATTTTCGGTAAATGAATAAACACTAAATTCATAACTAGGCTGTAAATTTTAGGCTGCTTGATCACGTTATAGTTACGTTCCGACAACTCCAAATATGTATAGTTCCATCGTATGCATCACTTGCTCTACAACATAAATTAAATATTTTGAACACTTTTTATTAGCAGCCAGATCGAGCATTCATTCTCTACAGAAAAACCTCTCTCTCTCTCTCTCTCACTCACAATATCAAATGCTGCTTATCCGTGAACATTTGCTTAAGACATCGAATTTTCTTGTATCCATGTACATGAAATACTGCGCATTTCTGATTGTTACCGAGTGCCATAAATATGGCGATGATTTTTTTATACACGAATTAAATTTCGTACGTTTCAGTATTCTTGACTAATAAGATCATATTCATTTCTTGCTACGCGCTAGCATACAGTCATTTCTATCGAAGAAATTTTCGGAAACTATGCATCGGTATTTTGCCATTCTCTCTTCTATTTTATTATTTATGTTAGTTTATTTTTCTAGTCGTTCACTACAGTCATAACACCAGTCTCATCAGAAACTACGAATAAGACATTGGATACGTCATCAACCCGAGAGACAACTATGCCAATTCAAACATCAACTACTGCTAGAATAACCAGCACATCTACATCAACAACGACATTGACAACAACATCGAATTCATTGGATGATAAAGGAAATAATAATTCATTTAAAAAAACATTGACTATTTCCTTATCCATTGCAATACCTGCCGTATTCATTATCAGTATTGGTATTGGTATCTTAGTAACAAAACGAGCAGCTAGACGTGTCCCTGATGATGGTTCTCGTCGATTAACTAATATAAAGAAAAGAAAGAAAAATTTTGTTGAACTGGATCGCATGTTAATAAGTAAAATTTACTAAATTGTTTCAGTACTTTTTTTACGAGAAAAATTGAACTCTGACGTTATCGTTTTTATTATATATGTGTTTTTCTTCATATCGTTATATTTCTCTATTCTTGAAAAAGATATCGACATCACTTTAATTACTGCAGCGCACCAGACTTTTATTTTTCGAGAAAATGCTTTGGAATTCAAATCAAGCCTCTACTGGAAATAGACTCGAGAATATTGATTGCTGTTTAGCTAGCATTTACAGTTCAAACTTTGCGACTCTTATTGTCAATCATAATAATTTAATATCCTATGAAACCAATGAATTGTGTAATAAATTTATTTCCCAGTAAAACAATAATCGAATAATGCAAATAATTCATCGACATTTTTTCTTCGGTTCGCGTGTTGTTTATATTTGATTGTATTTCAATCGTATGTCAGCAAAATCACACGTACTTTCTTGACGAATCAAAATGAATTCAACTTCAGACTACGATGTCGTTGGAATCTGCTAAAATTTATCGATTTTTGTTAAATTAGACTGTTCAATTATGATTATAACAAAGGTGAACTAAACATTAAAAAAATATTTTCTTTGTACTCATCTCTTCAGAGATATCCTCATTTTTTCATCAGGTCCTTGTCTATTTCACTACCGATGAAAAAAATATTTTCTTTTGTATTTTTTCTTTATTTCAATTTCAGTGAATAACGTTATGTTATGATTACTTATCATGAAAATACTGCGTCTTTCACAACAGTGACTAGTTCTGTAATCGAGAGTAAAAACGTACTAAAAAATGATAAAGATTTTGCTTATTGGGACTTTTGATAAAATATATATTCGCTCGCTTGCATTTGAAGAATCAACAAAAAAAGCAGATTTAATAATAAGCATTTTACGTTGTGGAGATAGTTGATTTCATGTACTGTTCGACAAAGAATTATTATCTTGCTAAAATGTCAAATACTTTACTGTACATTCCTACATATTTTGTGTTTAGCTTTCATTTTCATAGCAACAAGTGGAATTGATACTTGTTACTGACAGACCAGGAGTTGCTGTTGCACAAACACCAGCTGTACCTTTATCTGACGTAACATCCAGTTGTACGTATCATTGGTTCTTTATTATATCAATCGATTACCTGCTATATTTTCAGTTTCGCTAACAAACGATAATGAATTCTGTGATACACCTTACAAGGTCAACACTTATACTTGAGGCATGCATTTTTGTAGCAATGGTTATTGTGTCACACCAAATTATCCGAATAGTAAATGTGCATTAGGTAAATTTCGATGATGCTAAAAGTATTATTTGACTGGTTTGAATCATTTTTCTTCAACGAATAAACATTCTAGGAAAATTTGGATAAATCATTTTTGCTAATCCGAGAAGAGCTTCTTTCATGTTAGATATGGTGCCAATGGTATTAACGGTATTAATGACCAATGCTTGATATACTATTATTATTTACCGAATATCACCGTAACAGAACAAAACATTCAGGTCTATAAAGAAGAAGCAGGAAGCAGTAAAGAAATAATAGATACTGTTACAAGTAGCCCGTGTAATGGATGGATAAAACAACACGTGAATTGCAACATTGCAGAGCCTGGATACAAAGTAATCGATCTATTGAAATACAATATTGAAATGATCTCATATTTTTATTATAATTTTTAGATTTATTTTGATTTTGAGAAAACATCCGGAACTGGTACCCCTACGACGGCAATCGCAATAGATGAAATTTCAATCCATCAACGTCGTTGCTGTAGGTTGACTTGTCGTTTTCTTAAATTTCTACAAAATAAATTTCGGTTTTAGCTGACGAATCTGTAACTCAAAGTGCAACAAATCCAATATCAACATCAACTGTTTCAATAAGAACTACGTAATTGTAAACGTTTATTTCTATTATGATCTTATACATGTTCTTGTTTATTACCATGTGACAGTGAATCAGAAACAACAATCGCAAATCTTTCTAATGTGACAACAACTACTGCCGATCAACAATCCACATCGAATTCTCAAACTTACTATTAGTTTAGCTGCTACTATTCCTATAGGCATATCTACAGTTATCTTTCTAATTATTTGGCTTGAATATTATTTTTATACCAAAAATCAAGGGGGGACAAACTGATTTCGGAAGTAGAAATCAACTTGAAATCACTTGAAATCATCTGAAATCAAAAACTTCAGGCGAAATCATGAAATCTCGAAATCAGTTTGTTCCCCCTTGTGAATTCTATTATAATTTATAAAACACGTGTGTTGTGAGGAATAATCACTTGATATTGCCTATAGATTAACAATTGCATTATCATAACCATACGTTAGTTTGGAACAAATCTAATTCTAACAATTTGAAAAATAAGATTTGATTGCCCCTTAAATTAGATACTAATAAATAGAATTGATCAGATCCAAAACTCAGTTTTACAATATTTTTACTCGTCTTTGATTTAGCATAACAACCGACTATTGACTGAATTCTCGGCGATAAACAGCAGTATTTAGTAATTCTTCATTCACATTTTATCATTAATTAAAGAATCGTAATGAAAATAAGGAACCAGAAAAGATAAATAAATCTCCAATAGACAGAATGATCAGCTATTAGCAAACGAATTGCTTTGATTTAATCATGTCAATTTTCGATTTCATATATAGTACTTATTGTTTCTTATTCTTGAGTAAATTGTTTTTCTATTAGTTTTTTTATTAAATCATACCATTCAAAAATACACTACATAACGTTATGTTTGTAAAATTTATGAAACAAGAATTCGATGCAGTATTGATACAATCGACATGATTTGAAATAAATGTGTTTTGTTAGTTTAAAAGCAGTGAAAAAAAGAGTTTTTGTTAGTTATGTTGAATTTTGGGATTAATTAATTGATTGAAAAAGTAAAAATAGTGTTTATTTTATATATGTGATGATTAGTGAATACGATTTCATGTATTTGCAAATGAGTTTGAACGAGGCAATCTCGTAATTGTAACCTTAGCCTATTTTTTGCTGTTGCCTGATAGTCTAGCTTTATCGTTTTGTTTTTGATTACAGCTGTGCGATGAATTTCGTTTAACGGCAATTGACTTGAATGCTTCACTCGATATGCCCTGATGCATATTAAGCATTGTCGATGGCAAATTTGATTGAGGTAATATTATAAAACTTGCTGCTTTTGTTATTCTTTCATTCACTGGTGATACAACATTATTGATTGTGTGTGATGCATTATCCATATTTGGTAAACTTGATCGATTTACTTTGCTGATACGTACTGAACCAGTCGAATGTATTCTTGGCAATGATTTGTCTGATAGTTGTGTATTTTCTCGAGACGAAATATTGGATTTCTTTACCTTGATAATATTATCACGTGATTTCGTTGACATTTCTCTCGGCAATTTTATCACGGTCACAGATGGAAGTTTCTCAGTATTAACTTTCATCAGGTGAATTTCTTCATTACGATTTGGAGGTTTGATGTTTTTTTTCCTTCATTTGTCAATGGTCTGTCTATTCGACTGATGCGTGTCACAGATGTAAGTTTCGCACTATTCGTCTCAGATTCTCTTTGAATACTCGAACCTTTTGGTAAGTAGCTGATAGATCGAGAATAGGGATTTGTGTTCAAGGTGCTAGCGCTAGTTGATACTCTGCTTACAGGTGCACCGTTCTTGGAATCGATCGGCTCAATCCTGTGATTTTGACGTAATAATTTATTCTTGAAGGGAAGCTGTTGTTTACTGGATATAATTGATGGTTTTATTGTAGAGATAGATTCTGACCGACTTGAACATAGGCGTGTCTTATCGTTCATCGATAAGTATTTACTTGCTTTGTTCTTTCTTTCTCTATTTGCTCGATGACGACGACGTCCTCCAGCACTAAAAAGAAGCACACATCATTCACTTTACACAAGGCATTTATCGATTAAAATAAGCTTACAATAGCCACCACCAACAGCAACAACATAAACTCAATAGAACCAGAAATCCTAATACCGCCAAGGCAATAATCCATGCACCATTTGATGCATCTTCATAGAAAAAAAACTTCATCATCTTGTATCACATGTATTTTATGAGCTCTTACCTGTGTTCGTAGCTAAAGAACTTGTTGTCGTCACAGTTGTCATAGTTGTTGAGGTTGTCGTCGTCGTCGTAGTCGTTGTTGTGGTCGTCGCCGTCACCTTCGTAGTTGTTGTTGTTGTTGCCGTGGTGGTTGTCGTTTCTGTCGTAGTTGTTGTTGTTGTAGTAGTAGTTGCAGTCGTGGTCACACCTGCTGTAGTAGTGGTATCGCTCGTCGCTGTTGTGGTTGCTGTAGAAGTTGTTGTTGTACTGGTACTTGCCCTGAAAAGCAGAGATTTGCATTAAATCTTGGCGGAAGACAGAATCCAAAATTGGAGTCAGCATATTCATAGATCTCAAAAGTGTAACCCATGTTATTGATATTGTAAAATAACTTACGTTGTAGTTGTGGTTGATGGAACTTCTCCAGGGCCTGTCAATGATAGATTTCATAATTAGATAAATAAAAATAAAAATTGAACTAGATCTTTACATAAAGAAGTGGAGCCAGCAGGAATAACTGTAAATGTAAGACAATATTGATCTGATTGTATTTGTGCACTAAATGCAAGATAAAAAAATGAAGAAACATCGGATTCGCATCCGATTGTTACGTGTACTACAAAAAATGAGTCGATTTATATATGTTTTCAATAATTCTGAGAAAAAAAAGTATTGTTCTGAAAAAATCCCTGTACCCCCCTTCCTCAGCGATGGTCTGGGTCAATAATGACGATTTTTTCGATAAGTCAGCCATTTCTTGACGGATCCTTCTCATCTTCAAACTCGACTGAGATATTGATGAGATCATTCTGTGTACAAAATTTCATGGCAATTGTATGAGGCTTTCAAGAGTTATCGTGTTAACGGCCGGACACACTAACCGAATCCAGAGTGTACTCATTTTTTGAGGACACAAAAACTGTGCTAAGAATCTTATTTTAAAAGAATATGTATGTTACATGTCAGTAGCAACAGAACAGTATACTTGAGATCCTAATTGCGTTGTCGTTGGTATCCACGTTTCAGTGATGGTCCATTCAATACTTCCAACCGAAACTATACTACCTTTGATCATATAAAGGGGTGGCATTGTAAAGAAGTCTACTAAAGTAGTTCTACTACATCCTTGAACAACTGTCAATGTAAACGAAAATGTCTGTCCAACTTGAACTGCTGTACAAGCCGTTAGATTTGAGCTAATCTGAGGCTGTAGTGGGCAGACAGCGGCGCCTACAATATGAATTAGAAATTGAATGGGAACGCGACTAAATGGTGTGCATGTTGATTGATCATAGAAATCTTCAACCATCAATGCCACAGCATAATATTTTCCTACTACTGTACCAGTACTATTAAATGTTAACGTACAGTTCTCACCATCAAGCACACCACCTGGTGCTGACTGGCAGACATCACCACACTCATCAAGTGCAGATGTATTCTGAGCCCAACGGCAACTAATATATAAAACCAATCTACTTTATACACAGAAATACTGAAAAATATAAAAACTACCTTGTATAATCGCCATCAGCATCGATCACTGGAATCGTTATAGCAGTCAATGTATCTATTGGAACATTGATAGCCAGATAGAGAGAAGGACAAAAGTATCTAATAGTGAATATCTTAGGAGATGATTTCTTACGTGAAATTACAGTTGCAACTGGAGGGGTGTTTATAAATCCATCTGGTCTAATTGTCAAATTATCAAATTAACACAAATTCCAATAGACCAATGAGCAGATGTACTGTAACAAGTGGCTCCGGTTGTTGTCAATACTGTGGTTCTTGGAGTAGTTGTTCCTGAGCCACCACTAGAATGCCTTTTCTTTTTCCCACTTGATCCACAATTTGATGATTGAAGGCCAATCCAAGAGGAACCTGTGTACGCTACGCAAAATTCAGCACTAGCTGTGATATTTTCAACTTTAAAAATTTGTTCTGAACTAGAATCAGCGACGACGCTGAAGTCAGTGCAATGTTCACCGATGTCTAAGGCAGTATAATTGCCACACGTACTAGCAGCTGTGGTACACACAAGAGTACCAGATCCAGCACATAGCAGAGGTGATTGATTCACAATTATCGACTGATTACAGAATGTCGACGAACTGTGAGAGCGATTCCATTGATAGGATTGTGTGAACATAACGGCTATGCTTGAACCATTATCTGTATTATTCATTGGTTTCCATGTCACGGTTCCACCATAGAAATGGGTCGCTTCAATACAGGCAAAATAGAGGAATAGAATTATTTCTATCATGTTGATAGTTGGTATGTATCTTATATTTAAAAAATGATTTTGACTATAAAAATTTGTTACATCTCGAAACTCATAATCAAGTATAGAATGAATATTTTCTAGAAGCTTTCTTACGGATGGATATTTTTTGTTTTTAATAAATTATTCTCGGTAATTGAAAGAAGACTTTCAAAATATTGGTGTAGGCAAATTTCGATGCTTCATGAGAATACTATTTTTATTTACTTCAATGGAAGGAAAAAGTGCATCAGTGTCAGCGATGCAATCAGAGGGATGCTGGGGTTCAACATTCTCTCAAGAGATCGTAGACACCCCCTGTATCGCCTTGATGAGGGTCAGAGACGCAACTAATAAAGATGCCAGGTGCCACAGTATTGGTTATGGCAGAATGACAACAATGAGAATTAAATAGTATTGAATATTGGATGAAGATCCAATTGTTTATTCAATGAACAGAAATATTTGTGAGTAAGAATAACTCCACAAACAAGTAGCTGACACGAGCTCGAATGATTGTAAGGGACAATCAAGTTGAAAGAACAAGGCAATATGAAATTGATCAAAAAGTTGATTCCTTTTGGTAGAGAAGAAAAAGAAGATAATTATTATCATTTTCTGAGTCTAAGCGCGAAAACAAAAAAGTGCCAATATTCAAAATAATAAGTGCGACTATAAGTAACAAGTGAGAACAATACAGAGGAGAAATAAACACGCATAACATAAAAAACATCAAGGCAAGATTAGTGAGGTTGCTGCCGTCACACCCCCTCCCCTAGAAAAAATAAGTTTAGCTCCTCCTACAAATTTGTTGGTATTAGTATAAAAAATATGATCCATAACCCTTCGAAAACGAACCTTTCACTAAAGCAATTATCAATCTTTTGAGTGATTTTATTTTTCATACCGTAATTAATTCTGTTTTACAATTGATTTAGTCACGAATCAGATGTAGTTAGACAGATAGTATACTTCCATATCTTTATATTTTAGTGAATAAATATCGACTAGTGATGTGAAGTTCGTTTGAAAATTTGCTGTGTATCTATATGGAGTATGTTGCTGATTTACTGTTAGCAAATAAACCACGCCTTTGCTTTTTTTCTTTTGCGTTGTAACCATAAATAATGATTCTATTTTTTTCTGATTACGCTCTGTTTTGTTGTTATTCGCTTTCACAGTTTTCATTTGGTAGCTATCATATTTTGTGAAACACGATCTGAAAGGAATGTTGAACTATAACGGGGTCAACTCCCCCCCCCCCCACAGACCGGGACAGAGAAATTAAATAAATTAGTTAGCTCATTAATTAATTAACTAATTTCTCTGTAACGGTCTGCGATGGTCTCTAGAGACTCCATACATCATAATACGACCGTGGCAGAGAACCTCCACAGACCATCAAAGACCGTGGTAGATGGATTCCAGAAAAGGAGCTTTATCGTGTTTCACATTTTAATCCCACAGGGATTGTGCTAACAGCTTTTTTATAAGATCGAAAAGTAGAATAAAAAGAAACCTTTTCGAAATTTGTTTTTTGCATTAATATAGAAATCTTTCTGTACTATAAAGGCAACCATCTCAGACGTTTGCATTTCATGTTTTGTTATATACTACGGAATAATGTTGAAAGAAATAATATAAAATTATGTTAGATTAGCAATAGAAGCTGTATAAACTTCGAAAAATATTCATAAAGAAAGTTCTTCCCTTCCGTTTTTCGGTAACTAAGGAATAATTTAACAAAGACTACTACAAGTGTCAATGTAAATATGTCTGATAGTAGAGAAAATTTTTCATTAGATTCAAATCATCATATCTTTCTGCATCAAAATTTTTTAAAGAAATGATGGCATGAGATGACTAAAATGTACTGCTCTCTTCTCTGTTTTCTTGTGTGATGATTTTTTCATGCTTACACAAATAGAAACAAAATTGTGAACATAAATTTTCATATTTTATATCTCTCATGCGCAAACAAAGACATTTCAGACAAAAAGTTTTCAATAAAAAAATATTATTATGCTACCATTCGTCTCTCTATTCAGATCAACTCGCGGCTTCGCAATATGCGCGATAGAAATAGAAATAGAAGCCGTTTAAGTAAAAATTTCAGCAATCGCAAGGTGAACATAAGGTGAAAAATCATCGAGAAAATAATAAACATTGTTTCAAGCAAAGTTTTGCCGTACTGTTTCATCGATCATGGCATGTAATCGAGCACTTCTGTTGTTTCAATTAATATGCAACTGATCTCAGTTGATTCTCGTCATTGTTTGTGCTCTCACAAATGAGTCATCCGTTGTTTAAACAAATAGAGCGCAACTAATGCTCACTGAGTCAATTAATTGATCTGCAAATTTCATGAATGCTAAAATATAACCCTCAAGGTTTGTTAGTGAAACAGTTTAAGTTTTACCTGCACGTGAAACTTCATCAAATGGTAGCTTTCAATAAGTGTCATGGGCGGCGCAAGCTGAAGTTTCTAGGGGTAGCAATAAATTTATTGAACCGATAATGTTTAATCAATTTTCTATGTGCCAAAGAAATAGTTTTGCATCAAATAGCAAACAATAAAAGCAAACCTTTTTACAGAAATTGCTAGAAAAATCGCTTACGGCTTCTACTAGAATATCTATGACTCCAGAATAATAAATTCTAAACATGTCAACTCTTTTTGCTGTTGTATAGATCTTTCATTAACGGTTTGAATGCACACGTGATAATAGAAAATTCGCTGCACATACCTCGCGAAGTAGATTTATTTTGAAAGAAGACTGAAAAATCTTAAGAAAATCAGAGTGAAAAAACCTAAAATATACGATTCGATACATCTTTATGTTTTCTTTCAAACTGTGAAGACCACAGCTCTCTATCTTGTTCCAATGAAAAGTTACTCAAAAGTACTCACTTGGCCTTTTTAATATAATTAGTGCTACCGTCACATTTTATGGAAAAAAACAGTTCTTATGCAGGCTTTTTAATTTTGATATTAAGTGAAGATTGATCAAGTACCATAGAAAAAAAGAACATTGTTTTCTCTATCACTATATGAAAAAAGAAAATTGCTTCAAGCTTTCTATACGGAAATAAAGTATTGAAAACACGACTTTTGGACTGTTCGTATTACATCATAAAAGAATCGAATTGAATATAAAACAGTGGAAATTAATCAAGAGTTTCTTTGTATCAGAAAAGGAAGCGAGAACATAGCCTTTGTTTCTCCAACCATGTAATGCAAAACGACATCAAACTTGACAGAAATAAATGTCAGCCATACATGATGAAAGTAGAGCCTCAGAAGAAAATAAAACAAGGCTCATCGTGTATAAGCGTTCTTCTAACAATTATCGAAATGTGTATTATTAGGGGTAGCAATAAAAAGTTATTGCTACCCTTAAGTTTCCATAGGGGTAGCAATTGATACCCCTCGCATAGCAGGTGCGCCGCCTATGATTAGTGTCATGGAAAAAATAGTATCGAATGATTTTTTGCGTAGAATTTATTTTAAATAAGAATTACTGTATATTATAATTCAAAGTTCTTGTGTATGTGCAAACCATTTTCTTTTTGGAAATATTTATTTCATCATATCATCCAGTAGTTTTTGAAGCTATTCTCATGAATAGATAGTAACTGATTTCGTTTTAATACAGTGCAATTCTACAAAAAGATTTTCTCTGGTTCTTATTAGACTTAATTAACTAAAATAGAAAGCAAATGAAATGAAGAATCTTGAAATCAACCAATATTAATATATCAGTATCTCAAAATCATCAAGAGTATAATAGGAAAAAAACACAATATCCATTCATTCGATTCAATTTCTATTGAATAAACCACGAAGGAGTACTCAATTGACTATAAATTAATAAAAGTTTTTTGTTGCAAAGCGATAAAAAAAAACCTGCCTTTTTTAACGTATTTCATAAAGTATACTATAAGTCAATACAAAAATTTCCATGTATGAATAAAATATAATTGAATCACAGTTATGCTGATCGTTCACTCTTCCATATGTAGAGCTTACGATGTTGTATTGTTATTACATGTTCTCTTTCTCGCATAATTGATTGAAGAACACGTTTTTGTTCGTGTTCATTTCTATCTTCGTCTTCTACTATGAACATTCTATTTCTGTTTACTTGGTTTGGTACATAGTTAGTTTTCATTTTTTCTGAACAAATTTTTGATGAATATGCCCGAACGAAACTCTTTTTTGCCTAATAATATTCTGGATTTTCAAAATGATGAGTTTTACGATTTTGTGAAACATTTTTCTAGTGAAAAATTGGCTATATTCTTCTTCAATTTCAAGATATTAATAACGTTCAATGTCTGCTCGATTACGATGATGATCCCTTTGAAATTTTATTACTTGACTCGGATGACTTACTTGATTTGAAAAAGAGAATGTGTGTCAAACTAAATAATAATACATTCGTTGTTTTACCGCATTAACAAAGAAGCGAAATGAGTTTAGAAGAGAAATGTCGAAAACATCATCGAATACAATTTCAACAAATAATACATCGTTAACAATTTTATCAAACTCATCGAATGAACAGCAGTCTACAATCATTTCTTCATCTATAGCTTCTAATTCGAAATCAGACGATGAACAAAAACAACACAAAATTAATTTAATCGACGAATGGTGTGAGAAAATGAAAGAAGAAAATAATAAGCAAGATTTTCATCTTAAGGAAAGTATTGATTATGAAATAATTGCGAATTATATGTTAAACAAGGCATCGATCAAATGTCAATGTGGCATAACCGCAACTTTAGAGATAAAAAGTAACAACTACATCGTAAGTTATTTCTCTTCATGCTTATATTTTATTTTACAAAAAAGATAGACAAGCATTTGTTCGAAGCAATCGAATACAATATTCAGACCATATACACTATGAATTATGCATCAAATCGATGTTTTTTTTAATAGTTATATTTGCAGTGGGGGAGCGGATTCCCAATCCAATGAAACTCCCGGGAGTACAAAATCCGCCTTTTCCCCATTGGTGGTTAGATTCCGATTAGATTAATAAAAAGCAAAAAACAAACGGACATTCGATTAAAATCGACTAGAAAATTTTCTGAGTTAATTTTATTAGAAGGACTTGCACAAAATTTCTATAATACTTAGAATGATAAAATCATGAAGTTCAAAACTAATCCATATCTATAATAAAATTATCATTCTGATCATCATCGCTTTCACTCTCTTCATTATTAACGTGTTCTAACACAGATAATTTTCTTTTTCGACTTGATCGTGATGAATGTGAGACATGTTGGTTCAGACATGATTTACATATGCAAGTGACAGTATCACAAGAATGTAGACCTATCTCTTCAGTTTCTGTCTGTTGGTTGCATAAAGAGCACGGCATTTCATGTGCTTCATTTGGTATAGGTGGGTTTTTCAGATGACAAGGAGATGTCGTACAAATTCGAGATAACGTATATCCATTATTGATAAATGCTTGAATAAAACGTTGTTGTTCAGTTTGAGCTTCTCGTATTGTTTTTGATTCGTTTATTAATTGATCGATTATAGGACGAATCTGTTGAAATGGACATGTTGTTAAATGGAGACTCAATTCTTCTCTTCTTCCACTCCATTGACATTTATGATCAGCTGATAGGCATGGCACTATTTTTTTTGTGCATATCTCAGTATGTTTTTTACGATCATCGATATTAGTTTGTTCGCAAAAATTGCATTTCACAAGAAGACGTGCTAGCTGATTAATAAGAGCGCGTGTTTTAACAGGTGTGTAATCTTCGAGCGTAACATGTTGACGACATGTTGGACACTTCGAATACTCTTTAAGCGATTCTTGAATACATTCTTGACAAAACGTATGTCTACATTTTGTGGCACAAACAGGAGAGTCGAAAGGTTCGATACAGATTGCACATTTTAGTTCTACATCAATTGAATCACTATCCAAATACTCAAAGTCAGCTATTTTCATGATCGTTTTTATTTTTTTGAAACTTTTCGATTGAGACGAATAATTTCAAATATCCTATCTTTTTATTGAGATCGTAATTGCGACATATTTGCCTTCAACAAGAAAGAACGAATGGGAATTTTCACAGAAGGATTTTTCTCTATTTACTCGATGACGTCTTGACAGAAACCATAGGCGGCGGAACCCTTAGACTATATGGGGAGCTCAGATTTTTAAATGATAAACAAACAGTAAGTTTTGTATAAAAAAATAAATGTCGACACCATCATCAAGAAAAAGTGAATCCAGTTCAAGAGTTTATGTCACCAGAACTGGCAGAAGTTTCTATTTCCACCACCACCATGATAGCTGAAAATGAAACGATTTTGAAAGGTAATTTACTTTGTTGTACATATTATGGCCGTTATGTTTCCGAGAATTTATCACATTTTAAATCAACAAATGATCAGCGTAAATGTCTAACTATTCATTCACAACGCGTAGATTTAATTTTTGAAAACATGCTTTAGCTAAAGCGATGAAATCTTCGATTGTTTTGCGGGCGTGTAAATGGGTCAGTGGAGAAAATGGTTTGAATGAAAGCAATAATAAAGAAATAAAAACGTTTGCTTTCTCTCCTAATGTCGACTTTCTATGACTGCTTTAAAACAAAATTTTAGCCCCACTCTAAATTAGAAACGAATAAAGCAGTCTCCCCAGGTACGATGATGATGAGTTAAAAGACTAGTCGTATGTCTTTAAAATAAAATAAATTATTTGATCAGTTGATTTCGAAGGCCAAGCGATACTTAATCCTTAACATCATAAGACTACAATGAATTGGTAGAAATATCGTCGGTGATGCTAGTGTGCTCCATCATTTTATGGAGAAGAACTCAGACAACGATCATAAATTTTATCTAAAAAAAAATATTATACTTTTTATTAATATAAGGCTAAAAATAAGAATATAAGTGTTAGAGTAATTATGATATATACTCGCAAAGAAATGTCAGAGACACTTTTTGAATGTTAGTCACTACCTTTCGATTCTCTTTTTTTCTTGACATTGACTTCAAGACCAAAACTACAAGACTACCGAGCAACTGTGTCGTTCTCTTCCGGGCTACAACGTGACTATCAAAAATCGCAACTTGAGAAAAGATGAAAAAACAACAACAATGAAACAGAGCAGAACGCAAAAAGGACGATATACACAAACAGACACACATGTGGGCTGACGAGCAAAGCAACTTGAATGTTTTTCAGCCGAATGACGTTAGTCGAGAAAGAAAAGAGGAGACTATATGTACTTCTTCTTCATATATCAGAGAACGAAACAATATTGCACAGCATATTTCATTTTCATGACTTAAAATAGCGATATACGGCAGTGGCAACATCACAACATGTCGCTATCTATCGAGAATTTACCTGTCGAAGTATGGCATATTATTTTCTCGTTTATTGAGGCGCCCGACTTAGAAAGAGCATTTTCTCACCTCAATTCTTTCATCACTGGTCTACTTCGTTCGTCTAATCTTCGTGTTTGCTTGAATGTAAAAACAGGTGGATGCAAAGAGCTACGTCTATCCCATATTCCCTTTTGCCATAAAGCAATTGAGTCATTAAATGGCAATATCCATGGCAGTTCCGATGTTCTTATCTTTCTACAAGCTGTTGGCACACTTTCAAATCTTCGCTCGCTCTCACTTCATATACGACGGCAAACAAAATTACATCTGTTGACTTCTATTCTACCTCGACTTCCGTGTCTCGAACACTTAACAGTCCGTTGTAATATCTTCAATACTGGTCGTGGTATAGAACTTCTCTACACTGAAATGCTAAAACTACCGCAGTTACGAATGTGTGAGCTTCGTCTATCGCGAGACTATTTCGATATGTCTGAATTCAATCCGATTTTGCCCATTAGTAGCTCTATACGGCGCTTTCATATAGATGCCTGGGTCCGATCGGTTGATTTATGTCATCTTCTCAAGTGCATGCCTTCATTGCGCTTTCTGAATGTCTATCTTTATCATCACGCTCGCAGCAGTTGGAACGATCTTTCATTACATCAGTTAGCCAAAACAGCATGTTTATCGTTGATCAATGAACATATCAACTTGGACAGTCTCGCTCAAGCAGCACCAAGGCTCATCTATTTTCGTCTCCAGATTGAACCATATCCTGGTCAGTTTACTAGAAGATTCTTGAGGATGTACGGTTTTACCAACCCTGAAGTAAAACGTGTTCATGTTCAAATGACTTTGAAAAAGAATATCAATTTGGGTATGCTCGAACTATTACCATCTATCATAGTCCAAGGGCAAAAGCTCGTTCAAGAACACTCCGGCGAAGGACGGAATTTGCACGAATATAGTCTCGTTGAGAAATACTTTAACTTTGTTTAAAATACTCATTACTTCTTTTTCTTCTTATTATCATCACTGCTGCAGAAAAGACACCCACACCCATTCAATGTGCAATGGTAATAACTCTGTCTTGAGCTAGTTTTAATTGGTAATAAGAATAGAAAATTCAATCGATTAACAATTGTTTTTCTTAGCAATGATTTCAATAAGTTTATGGCTTAGAGATAAGTGCAACATTGAGTTACAAATGTTCAGTTATTTAGATACAGCTGATCACAATAATGGTGTTTGTTATTCTCGAAGTATTTTGAAATTACTGTTCTTGTCATGCATTGAAGTTCATATGTTAAATTAAACAATAAGAAGAAGATCATATGAATAAAAATATTCTCATTAAAATAATAATTGAAAAAACTAAAGCGATCATATAAACACTGTCACCTTCGCTGATCAAAATATTTCGGCTTTCCACAATTCAGAGAATATCTCACTGGTCTTTATATGTGTTCCCCGTCAAAAGCGAAGGTTGACCTAGCAGGCACGAATCATTTTACCTTGACCTAAACTCTGCGCAACGAAAATATTTGATACGAAAACAATTAATTGTGGTAGAACTATTTGATATTAAGAATAATCAACCAATTGATGAAAATCAAACAAATCAACAAGCATGGCGCAATCGTAAAAGATAATGTGTGAATACAATGCACAAGGTTTTTTTTCTATAAACATAAGTAAATCTTCTATTATTTTTATTTGGCTATTAATAAATTTCATTTTCCTGAAAAGATTCTAACAAAATATAATAACATTATTTGTCGAAATCGCTTATGGTCAATATGAACGTTCCTTATTTGATTGGTACATTATAGATGATATTAAAACTACAAATGATCATACTCAATGGGCACATGTACATCGTGGATTATTTTCTATATTTCATGATAAGCATGTTCATAAATTTGTACGTCTTGTTTGTCTACCTCTAAATAGTTTATTACGAGAAGGTATACAAGCTGAAAGTACATCAAAAACACATATTATTCCATGCCCATTGGATTTACCAATTGATTCAAACAAGGAAATTTTAACTAATTATTTTATTTCTCTTAAAATAATTTTTCGTTTTAGTCTATGTTTAGTATCATAGAATATATTAGCAAATGGATATACATTGTCAGCTGATGCTACTGAAACACATATATTCATATTGCCCAGAAGATTATTTTAAACATGATTATAGAGAAGCACGTCTTTTAAAGCAAATTATTAGGATATCATGCTGATATTATTTCATTGCCAGAATGTGATATATCGTTTTATGAACGAGAACTGTCATTATTACTACAATAATATGGTTATTTAGGTGATATGAAAAATAAAAGTCATTTGGCCAGAGAAGGTTCAGCGATTTTTTATAGAACATAACGATTTACGTAAGATTAATTTTGTTTTTCTATTAAGCTATATTGAAATCTATTTATATTTTAAAGTGCTATCGGCAGTCATGATATAAAAATAGCTGAATACGTGCGAGATGCAAAACATTTGGAATTTATTCGTCGTCGTTGTTCGCCAGTACCAAAAATCAGTACACATTTATTAGAAAGAAATATCGTATTACATGTAAGATGATTCTATCTCTTTTTTTGTCTTACTAAATATTTTAATACCAACGTCCGTTACGTTTATCTATTTATGAACAGGGTTGAGATTCGTTGAGGACTGCTTTTCGAATAGAAAATGTGGCTTATGTGATCAGTCGTAATTTTGTACCAGTCCAAAAAACTCAGATTGACCTTTTAATTTATTCAAAAGTTTAATTAAACCGATGATACGCCAATCTCCCAACTGAAAATTTTATCACAAGAAATATGGGTATTTCTGCTCTTCACTGTCATTCAGTGATCTGAATGAATAAGCTCTCCGTTACAATGGATAGCAATAGAATATAGCGTCAATCAAGCAATAAGCACCAAAACATAAGGTCGCTCGATTAGCTATTACTCGATCGGATACAAACGGCTCTTTAGTGATATAACATTTGGTTCTATTCGAAATCAGTATTGACTTCTAAATTATTCTCTCCGGAACGTTCAACCAAGAAATTTAGTCACTCAATATTTCGACGAAGACTTCGGAGTGTTCTAGAACAGTCGTAGTCTTACCATTCATAGCGAGCAGTGTCGTTTCCTCTTTTAATGAACTCAGGGATAGAAGTTTTATGTATAGCTACAGGTACGAGTACTGTAATCAGAAATTTCACTATATTTACATCTCTTTTTGTTTTGTTGGTGAGATTTGACGTTCAACTTTATAAAACGCTTCTTCTCGACGAAAAATAATGTGAATGGAATCTCTAGTTGTTCAAATTTGAAAGTCAATCCTAGTCGTTTTCTCCAAATCTCTTTAAACATTTCCGGGACATTTGGACGAGCAAATTATTATCAAAAAGCGTTTCATTTATTAAATCATAAAAATTGGTCACACATTGAGATCGTATTGAATTTATTTAATGAGAGCGTAAATAAGAGTTCAATAAATAGCGAGTCAGTTTCTAGCAAATGGATATTGCATTGTGATTTAAAAGATATTTTCTCTACGAATTGCTATCATCTATGGTCTATGCATCGCATTTGTATTGCACTAGTATAGGATATTAATAAAATGAAAGAGTAAAACAAATATTGTCTTATTTTATGTTCACATGTTGCAATACTTTCATTCAAAACAACGTGAAACAAAAACAACAATATTAGGAAGAGATACCTTTTTTTTTATCTGAATAGCATTTGAAATGAATCAAGAAATATTTGATGCACGCATGTGCACATGATAAGAAACCCGATACCATGAAAATGTTAAACGAAATGAGAATAATACCACTTTACCCTATATAAGTTAATTACAACTTTTCACCTTCTTGGTTAAATATTTATTTCAGCAAATAGTCGAAGTTTACGTGTGTCAAGTGTGATTCGCCGGACGTTCATGGAGATTATGCATAATATTTTAAAATTAATAGTGATTCTTATTACAGGTAACAATGAGAAAAGAAGATTAGTAATGGCAGGAAACTTACGTTTCTCTGTAGGAACTCATTGTCTCTAAAACTCACTTCCTGCTATTTTAGACAAGATGATTTCCTAAGGAATAGGCAAGCTAGCAAAGTATGTTAATCTTATTTTCTAGATTATGTCATTACGTAGTTTACTGATTACAAGCTTAAGTAACGGTAGCTCCCCATCTCATGCGAAAAAGGTACTCATGTATAGAAAGAAAAAGCGACTCAAATGCTTTCAATCAATTTTTTGTGGCTGAAAAAATAATAAAATAGTATGGGTTTAATTTGATTTTAACACAATTGTTGAAGCTTCCACTGATTTTACTCCGATTTTTTCCTTAGACTGGAATGGTAACGTCTAGAAGCAGAAATTCAACTGTGTCTACCTGTAACATATATAACTGTGAACAAGATGACCATCCCTATCAATTATTGCACAAATAACTCTGTGGGATGACAACGGACACTAAGGCATTATGATTGAAATCGAGCTAGGAGTAGTATCTTAAGATGAGAATATAAAATTCGTATCTATTCAGTGTTTTAGTGCATCGCATGACTCAATATGAAGATTCTATTTCCTAGTATACGAAACGGAGAAATATGATCGTAATATTGAGGCACGTTGTCTATCCATATGCAATGATTTATGATTTTTACGAGCCTGTTTGTTTAATCTGTTATGCTTATAGACGTGACGATCATTGTTATTAAATTATTGAATGTTTCGATCCATCGTTTAATGTAGTGTATACATGAAGATCAGATGTCAGAAGGGAATGAGCAGAGATTTTTGTCAGATAGGATTTTTTACTTTTTGTTCTTCTGAAAAATTACAGATATTGTCTGATGAAACAGCAAGTTTCCACTCGTTAAAGCCATAATGAGTAATAAGACTTATTATGCTTTCATTGTTGAGGTCTTTCATCATTAGAGAGTATTGCTTCCCTCATTATCATTGTATTTTGCTTTCATGTAAGAACTTTAAGATTTAAGTAAAACTTAAAATAATGCAAAATAAAAATAATTTCGTTAAGTTCTGTATGCTTCCAGTTCACTTAAAACTCGTAGTACTTTTCAACTGTCACTGTTCATTATTTGGATAAATTGTCATAGTTATAACAAATCTTTACTTATTTCACTTCAAATAAATTTTTAGTGTCATTGATGATTAGTCTTATTTACAGAAGAGCGACGTAGTAGAGAAAATTCTGATAGATTCTATTGAATCACAACAATCACACAATACACCTGCTGAATAATAACCAATTCAGCTTCGCTAAGGAATATAACAAAACTAGGACTAAGAAATCATGAGTGGACGATACGCATACACTGTTGATTTCAGCCTTACCTTCGAATTCGCATACTTTCTACTTTTCTATAGCCGTTCTATTTTGAGTTAACTATATCGATGATATCACTGTCTCACCAATTGACACTCGCAACAAGATCATTTTGCTACATCAAACCACAAGCCTCAATATTTAGATTAATCGCAGCCAAGAGAGTTCCAACATGATCTAAGCACTATTATAACTCAGCCCATTTCACGTGTTGTTATGGAATCCAACCTAATAATATCTGACTTCCCCGCTGTGTCCCTCCGTTGCTAAACAGATCTATTAAATACGGTTTGTTTCGAAACAGCTATTTACAATGGTCTTGGGGAAGCCATAATACCTCGATTTAAAATTTGCACTCACTAATTTCTTCGAAAAGCACGAACTTATTCAATACGGAAAAAATAACTCTCTGAAACACATCGTTGCTGTTTGCTAAGTCTTCTCTTATATGTATGCATTACTTAACACACGTTTATACTTTAATGCCCGTACTGGGATAAGAGGCCGAGCCTCAATCGAATTTTTCTACGCATCGTTTTTGTTCAATCTTCCCCACGCCATATAGAGTGGTTTTCTACTCCAAACATTCACCTGTTTGATCACTCACATGCATTCTTCGATCCAGTCAGTCTATAGAAAACGTGTGTCGAGTCTCGATGAATGTCACTTGCTAATTCCAAATCGATTTCAATAAAAAAAAAGCATCGGCATTTGCCCCACATTGTGTATGCGACGCATTGATATTGAACGTGAAACCATCCTATACGTATCAACGATTGGTTTAGTATCACATTGAAAGAATTTTGAGTTGTGGCGCCTAAGCAACTATCAAACTATGCCTTTCCAAGTTAAATCGACATAAAATTATCCTTTGTGCCACTCTCATTAGAATCCGCTTTAACCGAATTACCTCCATCGTAAATGACTGATTCCGGCTCTTTTATTGCAGAAGATAGACGAGATAGCTCGCCTAGAGTCATGTCTTCCAGGACAAGGTGCATTCGATCTACGTTTTTTTAGGATCTTCTGTTACGAGCTACTCGATCGGCAACTATGGAAGTAGCGGCAGTTCCTTCGGTGGTTTAGGAAGTAGCCGCAATATACTCGGCGGTTCGGGGAGCAGCGGCAGTTCCTTCGGTGGTTTAGGAAGCAGCGGCAGTACATTCAGTGGTTTTGGAAGTAGCGGCAGTTCTTTCGGTGGTTTAGGAAGTAGCCGCAATATTCTCGGTGGTTCGGGGAGCAGCGACAGTTCCTTTGGTGGTTTAGGAAGCAGCGGCAGTTCCTTCGGTAGTTTAGGAAGTAGCGGCGATACATTCGGTAGTATTGGAAGTGGCAGTAGCCCTTTCAATGGTTTAGGAAGTAGCGGCAATGCATTCGGTAGTGTTGAGAGTGGTGGCAATACATTAGGTGATCTAGGAAAAGAAGTCAACTCATTCAGAAATCTTGGAAGTGGCAGCAGTCCATTAGATACTATTGGGAATGAAGGAATGTCCATGAGCAATTTTGGACGTGGACGTGGTGACTTTAGTAATGTGGAAAAAGGAATCAACTCATTTGGAAACCTTGGAGATGGCAGCAACCCATTGGGTAATGTTGGAATTAGAATTAGACCATTTGGTAACATGGGAGGTGGACGCAATTCATTCGGTGACTTGGGGATAGGGGGAAGTGTGTTTGGTGCTCCTGGACAAGGTTGGAATTCATATCCTGACCTCATACAGGATAAAAGTATATCCAACAGTGGTAAGATGTTTTGTGGGTGAGCGGGATAGTTATCGTAAATTATAGATTCTGTGCGTTGTTTTGAGTAGATAGAGTATATGCATTCAAGACTCTACCAATGCTGAATAACTGGCGCAAGAGAGTGTGGTTGTGGATACTTGATGTTACAGGTTACAACCACACATCCATTGAGAACTCTATCTATCTATGATGAACCATCTGATCAGACTGTGAACGTTCAACCAATAGATAGTGATATATTATACACTCACAACTTAACTATGAACTCGTCGGAGGCGTATTCACTTGAGATATGCAGGACAGGAAGTAAAAATGAGTTTTATTGAAACTGAAGACAAGAAGTAATACAGAAAAACAAGGAGAATACAAAAATGGTTGGTGGATAGAGCAATTTTCATAATTTCCCTCATGATAACGGGAAAATGTAATCCTTCAAGACTCTTTGCAAACAATCTCGATCGAATATCGATTACTTGAAAAGTTTAAGAGAGTACAAATCTATAACACTTTAAAACTTGGCGCATCCGCCTTATGTTTATCAGCTGTTTATTTTTTTCAGCCATTACACCATCCCAACTTAAAGCAATCATGCCTCTTAACAAGCATCCTGAGTACTTGACACACATAAATAACGCTCTCGTGGAAGGTAATATCAACACGCCCGCCCGTAAAGCTGCTTTTCTTGCTCAATTGGCACACGAAAGCGGCCAATTTCGCTACATGAAAGAAATAGGCAGTGGTAAAGCATATGAAGGTCGAAAGGATTTGGGCAACAACCAGCCAGGTGACGGAAAACTCTTTAAAGGCCGAGGTCCCATTCAATTGACTGGCCGAGCAAATTATGCAGCTGCTGGTAAGGATCTTGACTTAGATTTAGTGAATAATCCAGAGCTGGTTGAGACACCTGAGGTCGGATTTCGGACTAGTGTGTGGTTTTGGAACAAGCGTCAATTAAACAAATTGGCCGATCGTAATACCTTGAAAGACTTTCGAAAGATTACGAAAAAGATAAATGGGGGCAATAATGGATCTGCGGATCGGGAAAAATACTGGAAACAGGCCAGCAAGGTGTTCAAAGAACAAAAAGAAGAAGAAGAACTTGAACTGTAAGAGACTAATAAATCATTGTATGTTTTGATTTATCATGGAAAGCAGCGCATGCTGTTCAGGAAAGCAATGATTCCACAGTGCATAGTTTTTTTTCAGTTATTCACTTGAGTGTGTGCAAACTCCAAAGTTTGTTCGGAGTAATTCAAAAACAAGAAATGTATCAACACTGACAGATAGAATCGATTGCTGGCCTATTTATCAAGTTGGGTGTGAATATTAATGCTAGATTTGACTTATAGGCATACCCACATTCTCAAGATCTGATCGAACTCATTCAATTGCAATAGCAAGAATTGAAAGAAAGCATAACATTCGTTTATTTATGACTATAATCAACGCGCCCAATCCATTTTTCGAGGGCTGCCTTTGAGCCTTCTTCATAAAGAAGTTTCACGGCGTCCTGTACAGTCTCTGCAAACAGTTTATTGTTGGCCAAATCCCCGAAAACTTGTCGTACGCGTAACATTTCAATAGCAGTGAATCTTGCTTCACTGGCTAATTTTTGTAATTGGAGTTCATCTGCTAAAACATCACGGAGTACGATTGATTGACCGCTTTCATCCTTTCCACCAAAATATCGAATCCATGAACCGACAGCCATTGCACAAAAGTATGGAATAACGCCTCGTTTTAACTGTTCAACAATGGTCGGCACGAGATATTTCGGAAATTTCGATGCACCATCCATGCACACTCTTGATACTGTATCTTTCATATGTCGATTTGAGAAACGTTCAATAATTTTGCGCTTGTACTCAGCAAGATCAACATTAGGCACAGGAGGTAAAACAGGGGTGACTTCATCACTCATCAAATGTTCGATAAAAAACTGCATATTTTTCTCTGACATGATCTCATGAATATATGTATAACCCATCAAATAGCCGAGATAGCACATGGCTGTGTGAGCTGCATTAAGAAGACGCATTTTCATGCATTCGTACGCTTCGACATGTTCGGTTAGCAGAACATTATAAGGCACATTCGTAAGTAATTCAAGTGGGGGGCGCCCACTACAAAATGAATCTTCGACAACCCATTGCATAAATGATTCGGCTACTACAGGCCATCCATCAGCGATACCGCAGTGCAAATAAACATAGTGCCGATCAGCATCAGTGGTAGCCGGTGTGATTCGATCAACTAAAAAATTTAAAATATATATCAGTACGAAAATGAATATTCTGTTGCTCTGATCAAACTCAACTTGCCCATAGAATTCGGAAATGTGACTTTAGTTTGAATATAGTCAAGTAGTTCGACATTGTTGAGCGCTTTAGTAAATTCAAGAATACATCGTTTTGCAACTTCTCCATTCTGTTGAACGTTGTCACATGACAAAATCGTAAACGGAGCTAAACTAGCTCGACGACGGCCGTCTAGGGCATGAGTAAGAAAACCGAACACTGTTCTAGGGGTTTGTGGATGTTGTAAATCATGCTGAATGTCAATATTGGTCATGTCTATGTCATAGCCACTTACAGTAATTGTCATTGAAACAATTTTCGTGTCCGGATGCATAAGTGTGGCCAACGCTCTTTCTGGCTCATCTGGCGCAAATATGTAACCAATGATAGACCCAATAATTCGAACATTAATGTCTGTTTCAACAGAACCTTTGGATATCAGCGTGTACAGGCCATCTTGTGCCTGAAGTACTGTACTAATCGATTTATCGACAGAACGAACTCCAATACCCACTATTCCCCAATCAATTTGGTCGTATTCAGTTGCTAACACGTCCATGTAGTATGCTAGATGTGAACGATGAAAATTACCTAAACTCAAGTGTACAATGCCATGTTTCAGCTCGTGACGATTGTAAGTGGGTAGATGAGTATGCACGGAGTTGCATTTAAACTTATCCACAATGAGACGCGCTAAAGAAGTGTCAGCAGCCACTATAACCTGTAGCGAATAACAATGCAAAAAAAAGCAATCATACACTTATGTTTTTATCTCGAAATAGAACGACATATTTTCATAATGAAGGTGTCGATAATTTTCTCTTATATAAACGGTAAGAAACCAAGTAGACATCATTTCGCTAGATGACAGCCCGATACGATGGTTACGTTTTGCTCGATGAAAATATCTATAATATTCATGCGTTTTCAGTAATTATTCTGTGAATTTGAAGACCCAAAAACAGTAAACAATAGTTTCACTGAAATATTTTACTTCGTTAACTATTCGAACAGATTTAATTAACCAATGTTTTTTTTCTAGCATCGGTAGTCACAGTAATCAGTGGATGCTGCTAACTGAATAGAGTACCCATTTAACACCACAGAGACTGAAATAAAAAAGAAAATATCAATTTGAATTTGTTGAAAGAAAAGAAACATAATTTCTCTTGTGATGCTGTTCAGTTCCGAGTCAACATTTAACTGGTTGTCTCTTATTCTACTCCATTGCTACCATTCCTTTCTTTCTCATATACATCGCCACTTAACTAATTTTCAAATGGCCTCCCAATAGTTTGCTGTTCTTAGGTCACGATTGGGCCAATTGGAATGGGGAAAACAATATTTGAGCCATGAAACTCGGCCCTATCAAGTATTCTATAGCAATATCAGTTGAAGAATAATGATACATGAAAGAAATCGACCTCGACATGTTTATAACACTAAGTTTAATTAGTATTTCGATAGTTTTGATACATCGTAAGTAGCAAAGAAGTTGTGACATCAAACGTAGTCCTAAATTGAACTACGTACAGCGAATGTTAGAAGAGAAAATCTGTCATACCATGAATTAAAGATGTATAATAAAAGCGAATTATGCAAATACATTATTGAGAGATATGTGGAGAAGGACGATGACTGATGTGTTTTTTCTTCTCCTAAGTATTACTCTACACGTCAGTTTAGTCAATAATGTCAAATAGCATCGGCAAATGCAACGGCATACAACATTTATCTGATATACTAGGGGATTTATTGCGGCACTTAATCGAAAGAAAAAAAGAGAGAGACGCGTACTCATCTTTATCTTTTAACAACCAGTCTCCATTATTCTACAAGTAGTAAAAAAAAATAAGAGAGGAGTATCTCACACAAGACTGATGCACATGCAACACCAATATCATAATTCGCTAGTTTTGATTGTGTTATTGATTATTGGATCGTCCATCTCGAAAACTGTTGATGAAATCTTTGTCGATGAACTCATGCGCAACTATGATGCTAGCGAAGCGATTGTTCCAGGAGCAGCAGTGATTATCATTTGCAATGGGAAACAGATTTTTCGTCAATCTTACGGATTTGCTGATATCGAGACAGACATCGAAACAACGCCAGTAACGAATTTTCGCCTAGCGTCATTGACGAAACAGTTCACGGCTGCAGCGGTGTTATTACTTGCCGAAGAACAGAGTGGAATACTCCAGTTGGACGATTTAATACGTAGAAAATGGTTCCCAACGCTTCCTCTAGCGACAGATGCGATCACGATTCGCCATCTCCTCACACATACATCAGGTCTAATTGATTATGAAGAAGTTCTTGTTCCTGATACTGATTTAAACAATCAATTGCATGATTCAGATGTTTTGGATATTCTTATTGCAGAAAATCGCACACATTTCTCACCTGCAGGTAGTCGCTATCGGTACAGTAACAGTGGTTATGCCCTATTGGCACTCATTGTTGAACAAGCCTCTGGAAAACGTTTCGCAGATTTTCTGTACGAACGAATCTTTCAACCACTTGAAATGCATGGCACAATTGCATTCGAGAATGGTATCTCCACTGTTATGCATCGTGCATTTGGCTACAGTGGTAATTCATCGTCATGGGCACGAACTGATCAGGATCAAACAAGTGCTGTTCTAGGTGATGGTGGTATATATTCGTCGATCGATGACCTACTCAAGTGGGATGCAGCTCTTTATGATAATCGTTTGTTAAGCTCAGAATCATTACGACTAGCGTTTACGCCAGCAACGATGACGGATGAACCTGGCATTCAGTATGGTATGGGTTGGAAAATCACTGGAGACATGGTCTGGCATTCGGGATCGACAATTGGTTTCCAGAATGTCATCCTTCGTTTTCCAATGCGGCGCCTTACTGTGATCGTGCTGACTAATCGCAATCATCCTGAACCCTACGACATAGCAATCAACATCGCACAGCACTTCTTTTGTAGAGACCAGTGTGCTGATTCTTTTTCATGTACTACTTCTACTTCTCATCGAGAGAGACTATCTGTATTCGTGCTTATCCTCTCAGTTTACCTCATGTACTCATTATAAACCCTATCTTGCAACTTATCGTAGTGAAGAAACCGAAAACAATTGTTTATATTAGACACTTAAAATTTATGATTCAATGATCATCATCACATGAAGCTTTCGTTATATTCGATTCAAATATAATTTCTATCAGTTTAGGTACTGTTGCCATCAATTGCCGCATGCTTTTTTAACAAGTTGCGTGATGATTTGAATAGTAGACCTTTTAACAGAGGAAGTGATCGCAAGTATCTTGATATATTGGTTCTGTTTTAAATAAACAATTTTCTATTGTCATACATATAGTGATTGTTGAATGGTAGATTGTATTAGCATCGAGCCAAAAAATAGTTATAAATATGCTCACTTACGTTAGTCGATCGTAGTTGTGAGATCACGGCATACCTCCTTTGCCAAGACTGGTAACGTGACAATTATTTGCAAGAATCCACGATTCCCTCAGACTGCAGTTGTAGGGGAGTAAACGAAATGCTGAATCACGACAAACTAATCATATAGAATTGCATGCAGAGCGCTATTTGAGATCTTTTTAGATTAACTGACATGGACACCCATAATCGGTCGCCAAATATTTTCGATAGAGAATCTTTTCTTCAAATGCACTCATGACTCAAATTCACATAAAAGCAACTTTAAATTAGATAAAATAAATTCTCTTATCTTAGTATACATATAAATACTCAAAGAAATCCTATATAATTGGATTATGTGATTATGTTGTCGTAGTCTCTCGAGAAACAGTTCTATAAATCAACCATCTTTGAGACTATTCATTTTAGAAGTAGAATAACATTGAGAAATATATTTAGTCATCCATCATTGATTTACTAAGCATTCGTGAGGTGAAGGATTTAGCAAGACAAGTTCCAATTATATAGATACTCACGCATTACATCTCCCCTTGTCTTTGTATCGAAATCGAACACCTAAACCAAATTGATTTGACATATTTTATAAAGTAGGTTGAATTGAATCTCAATTTTTAATTTGAACTGATCATGACTGCTTCATTGATTTTCAAAGTCTCAATAACAGTGCAGATTTTCACAAGTTAGTTTAGGCGTTTTAAAAGCTTGAATAAAAGCTGGATATTGAGTCTGCTATACGTCGAAAAGTATGCTTAAACAGAATCGAAATACGCGAATTTATCTGCATTTTTCAAGATCGAAACATTGACGCCTTTTCAAGATTCTGAATGCGTTTTTGTTCCTCTCACTGTGACCTAGTAAGTCTGTAGATATCACAATCGTAGAATGATTCAACGTTCTCTTAAATTCTCTTTGTATTTTGGTGGATACTACAATAGATTTATCGAGTTCAACATCGTGAGATAAGGATCTACTCTAATTTTAGTGCGTTAATGTTGCAGCTTTTTATTCTCAATAATTGCGGTGTCACTGCAGGGGACAGAGTGTACTTTGTCAAATGGGCGACTTCAATTCCGCGCGTACAGTAACCCAATAACGAACTTATCACTTGATGCATTCTTTGTCGTTGATACATCAAGTACCAATCTGAACTTGGTTGAATTTGGTCAAATGAAAAGTGTACTACGTGATATAATGGATGATTTAACATTGGGCTCTGTTCGACTCGCTATTTTATTCTATGGTTCTAAGACCGCAGTAGATATTGTTCACACGCCGACAAATGAAACGGAGTCGATTGGACGTATTAAGACAAAAATTCAGCAAAAGCAGTTTCGTCGAAAAAACATGCAGAATCCTTCAACGCTTAATATGGCTCTCGCCGAAGTGGAACGAATATGTAACAAATCTTGCCGCCATATTTTCATTCCACACGTGACTCTGCTACTCACGAGTGCTAAGCAGCCAGAGGTCTACAAAATTCAAAGTAGACGACTAGATTTAGTCTTGCGAATGACAGTGATCACAGTTGGTATTGGCAATCAAGTCAATCGCACAGCTTTGTCCTTTGTCGCGTCAGAGTCGTTTACATATGCCATTTCTCTTGACAGTTTCACATCGTTGATTATTAGTGCACAACACATAAGTTCACTAGTTTCATCTGTTGCACCTGCTCTTTACTATAAGGATTCGTATCCTGCTAAAATACTATGGCAGCAACGATCTGCATTTGTACAATACTATTTAGTACGTTGTAACTCACCCGACAGATCACATCGTCATACTCAGTTTTGAAACTGATACGTGCTGAAATAGTGTCTCTCAACTGCAAGTTTATTCTTCTAACTTTGATTCAATGCCAACAAGTGATAACTCTGAAGAAGCTAAATCTTATACATCAGAGCAATGCGGTAACTCTAATCGTTTCAAATACTACTTATTCATACGTGAACAGATTAAACGACTCTATATCAGCTTCATTGTGCACAGGGGCGGCGGATGCATTGAGACAGGTGAGGCTTGAGCTTCACCTAGTTTTCAGTAGATGAGGCTCAGCCTCACCTAGATTTCGCAATATGAGACTCAGCCTCACTTGTTTTTGTACTGAATATTGCTATTTTACTGTTCTTGCATCAGAGTAGAAGCAAAAAAGACTAGTTTTCGGTATTTTCCAATCTTCTTTTTTTATACTGACCATTTTTATTTTTACTGAAGTTCAATAAAAAGAAGACTTATTTACTACTTGATGTTTCATAAAATTCCACGGTAGCAAAAAAATATGATGAGCCTCACCTAGCTTAATGACGCTCCGCCGCCCCTGATTGTGTATAATAAACCTCAAACAATCAAGTATGAGGCATCGATTATCGACTATCAAACAATGACTTCAGGTACGTTTTCTATAATTATTTTTAGTTTTTAAATTCTTCGTCAAAGAAAATAGGATAAATTAATCAATCCGTTTTCCTCTTATAGACGTTTTAAGAGCAGATTTTTTCTGAAATTTCATCGGAGGTACCCCAACAAAAATGTATCGTTGTCGATATTACAATAGTGCGCATCTTGAAACTTGAATGTAGAATCACTCAAATTTTCACCTTTCTTTATTGTTTTACCTCACTTTTTTTCCTAACACGAATAGCTTTTCAAGTTTGAAATTAATTCACTACGAAATGAAGTTCCAACACCGAAATCGATTAATTCCCAATCAATCAATTTAGACTGATAAATACCGGCCTCGTACTCATTACTTTTGATATCATTCGACAAAGTTTAAAATTTATACTGTATCTGTTCCAGTATAAATTAAAATACCAAGTTCAGAAGGAAAATTACCTTTATGTGATGTTGAAAGTCCGTGCTAGCTACTTGATAAAATTTTTGGAGAGCCCTTTCTTACTGTTTGTAAGAAATTAACTTTTCTAGCTAACATTATAATGCTATTTTGCTGTTTCTCTACTTTAAAGCTACAAAATCATGCACAACAGCAACATACTCTCAGAATTTCACAACTAGAGTTATGCCAAATTATCAATGTGCAGCATGGAAAGTATTTGTAGTGGGTTTGACGTGTTCAAGATATAGAGTGATGCGGCTTAGTGGCTCGAGAAATCCCGCTGGCATCGTCGTTACCGATCCGACAATTGTTGACTCCATCGCTGTAGCATTAAGTAAGCCGACAAACTATGCAGTTAATTCAAATGGTTTTGCATGGGCTGTCGGTACTTGTGGTACAGGCATGGAATTGAGTGCAGCTGGCACCATGTGTACCTGTACCAATGGCTACATTTTAAGATATTATGATATTTACGTGAACTGGGGTGGTATTGATGGGATAACATGCTCGGCACCTTCGCAATCGATAACTGTTTCATTCGAATGAAAAACAAAAAGCGCCGTATATCGGGGCGTGAGTGTGAATTTCTTAAATGAATAAACTTAGAAAAGAAAAAGTTGTGTTTAATTTAGCAATCATTATCGTAATTTCATCCTTGATAAAGTACTCACCCATGTGTTCAATTTCGATGAAATTATGACGCAGTTACGGCATAGCTGCGATCGCAGTCACTTGATGAGAAAACAAGATAGCTGTAGTTTTGTTTGATTTTTATTCCTTAAGTATGCATTCTTGAGATTCATAAAAACTTCGTCAAAGTTTGCAGCAATAAAAATAAAAAAATAGGCAAAAGTCAACACAGAAAAATATGAAAATAAAAATATTTAAAAAAAGCATAAAAAATAAAAACTTAAAATCGATTGAGTAAATGTAAAAATAATCCGTAAAATGAAGGAAAAAGTTTAGAAAATCAGAAGAGAAAATAAATTGAGTAAGATCTAAAATAATTTAAAAGAGTATGAAAAATAATAAAAAAATTAACAATTGGAAAATGTTTAAAAATAAAAAATATTGAAGATTACTAAAATCAAACCTCAGATTCTAACTCTGGACGCTCGAAAACCACCAGGTGTTGGATAATACATTTGATCTACTGTACGACAATAATTTATGAATCGTATTGTCAAGAACGTTTCGTTTTATACGGTTTCTCTGTGGGTAACTATTAGCTCTAGAATGTGACCAATGACAAGCAAGGAAGTACAGTTTTTTATTGGTCGATATTAGATACAGTGAATCTTTCAATGCGGTGCAGCTGCGCTTAACTGCTTCAAAGTGATCGTAGTTCGGCGTAGATGTTCTATTACGCTCAATGCGGCGCAGTTGCGCCGTCAAATTGTTGCTACGCGTAACTCTAATGAACTGGTTTAAAAAAAGAGCGACATGGGTCAGCTTTGAAACAGAGAACGTATCCGATTAGTTTTGAGTACGATGAGAAAATGAAATACAGTACTTTTTTGACAATCTTAAGTACTTCGACCATTTCGATTTGTTTTTACTGCTGAAAATTGGAAATATTTTACTCATTACGCAATATAATCCGTCGTCGAACAGCTACTGGTTAATTCCGACTCTGCTTGATCAGAAACGAAGTTCAGACAGGTGTATCTACTTTAATATTCATGTCTTGAGACGAAGTTTGAACGGTGTTTTACGAAACCATTTAGACTCTCAATGGCCGAGCAGGTTTATCACAAAATTGTTTAAGCTACGTGTGGAATCTTTTTTTTCCAATATACTACTTAACGCTGAATCCTAATATTAGAGTTTATTTCTAAACTCATTCTAAGTTAAGTACATTTTCGTTTTCATTCATTTATCTATTTAAAAAAATATAAAAAATCCCATGAAAATATTTCAAAGCATAAAAAAGTAACAAATAGATAAAATTTAATGAAAAGAATATCAAAACTGAAATCTTATTTATCATATATTTTTTTATTTCTTTATATCTAGTATTTATTGTTTTGCTTTGCTTCTTTCGTTTTATTCTGCCAATTTAACGCCATTATGATGCGTTTTGACATTCGACGAAAATATTTGTGCGAAACACATGGGAACTGTTAAAGGTTTACCATTATACGCATTGATGGAAATCGGTTCTCCGATTAAGCTTTCTTCCTGACGATACAAGCGTCTAAAGTGTTCCGTGGTAAGATACGACATTCTGGAGTTCATACCTATCTTCGCCAATGACTGAGACCAACTTTCAGGTTCAAAAGAAGTCAATTGCTCTCCCATTTCGTATTCAAAGTGAGCTAGGTCCTTCCAATAAATCAGTTTGAACAATAGTTCTTGACCCAAAGCCAACGGCAAAACTGCACGCCCACTTAATTCAACATTATCAGCGGTTTCTACAGTACAATTCAACTCCCTGTCAGTCAAAATGGTTCCTGATTTGTTCAACCGTTGAATGCTGAGTTTGTTGGCAATTTCATTAGCCACATATTCTATGTCAGTTTTGTCTAGTTTAAACAAGCGAATGGCAACCAAATCTGTCTCTTGCGACCAATTACGTGGTGTGCATGGCTCTCGAGCATAAAACATCGTTCGCAACCCTGATGCTATTAATGGCTCCAGATACACCTTCAGAAATTCTTCTCTGGTGAATTTTGGCGAACGAGTGGATAGTTCATGCAGGACTGATTGGCAACTAAACAGAACACTTGAGACGTGACCTTTTTCTTGCCATTCGAGTAACATTGGCACCACCTTTTGTGCAGCGTCCATGGCATCAGACTCAATCACATGTTGGATGCCATTAGCACGAGCCTCAGCACATGCAGGCGGACTGATTTCCACGAGAATGCCGTGGCATGAACCCAGGTTCTGTAAAATTGCAAGTAGTTCAGATCCATCTGCTCCTCCGATTGATATCACAGCCGTTGAGCTACGCAGAGACATGCAATCTTCATTGTTATTGAATTGTAATGCCGAACATGATTTCCATAACCGATATTCATCATCAATATATTGAAGTACGTCCTTGGCTTTTCTCTGTCCTTTATTTTTGAACAAAGCTTGATATTCTTGATCCAGCGACGAGTCAAGTTCATGCAAGCTCCCGTTGGATATATATTGATTTTGTTGTTTATCGGATGATTGTTTAAATGCACATGCACGAATGATCTCCGTACGAGAAGAATATTGGTCCATTTTTGACAAATAGTTTATAACGGTTGAATATATTGGTGAATAGAGCAATGCCGTCTTAGAGTATAAGAATGTCTTTTTATACATCAACAGTCAAATTTCTTCCCAGTGGGACTCTACCTACAACCAATATCATGTAAGAACATCAGTGAATAGGAATGTTGGAAGATTTTGCATTTCAAAATCTGGATTTGTCCAACCACCATTCACGATCGCGATAAAACTAATATATTGGTTTATTCGTTGCACAGATAGAAAAATACACATCCAATTTGCCTCAATATTTGTCATTACCATTGCAATTATATTAGTTGCTCTAAAGCGATGCGCAAGCGAAACAATCAGAGAAAGAAATAAGACGCGTCAGTTACCGGCAGCAGTATCATACAAATAAAAATAGAATGCAAAAAATCTTACATTAGTTGGTGGCACAAGGGATAATGACTTGATGCTGTTTGACGACACAATGACTCACGTCTGCAAAGAAATCTTAGTAAATTGTATCAAACACATCAGAGAAACCGAAGACGACTGACATTTGATCGTGTCTCGTCTAGTCTCGTGTCAGAGCGTATATGATGTGGAATTTTGACTTTGTCAAAATGCAAAATTATATGAATAGTCCGCCACGAATCTCACATACGCCAAAATTTAAAAAAAACGATTAGGATGAGTATCATTGCTGCTTATTTACAGAGTGTGGATACAGATGCGGATGTGGGTGTGAATCATTGATTCATTGAATTTCAAACTGGAACCCAGGCCCACACACCCACGCGCTGTTTTCTCAGGTCGAATACTCTTGTATTATGAAAAGATTTGAGAGCTTCGTACTAGTATAACTATGTGATCACGAACTGTGAAAAATTTTTATTCGAAAACTTCCGTTAAAACTGAAAAAATTAAAAATACAGTGCTATATATCGATTATTTCTGCACCAACAGCTCGTTCTGCCAAATATAAAGTAGCTGATTAAATCTGATAAATGGTGAAATTCTCCATATTTACTTTTCATGGAGACTTTTAGAGCACTCTGTATTTTCTATTACTATAATGCGACTAAAGAAAACATTTGAATTTCATATTTCAGTCTATATGTAACCACATTCATCATTTTTGTTCATCTATGAGAGTCGATAAACGAAGTAAAGATGATATTATTGATGGAATCTTTTGGTATTATACATTCTTGTTTGACCATTTTTAATCGACGACTTGTCTTGATACTATCGATTTGTTTCCTAACGGTTGGTATAGTAATGAATTCATTGACTATTTGATAGACTTGATTAAGAGAAAGACTTTCATTTAATTGATATAATTTTTTGCTATTTTCTTGACGTATTTGTGTTATTGATTCTAATACTTCATGTACTCGTCTATTCATATCGGACTTTAAATTACACATCTGTAAAATTTGCTGTTCTTCTTCAAGATATCGTTCAAGTATCGGTTGAAATGGATCATCATGATTTGATAGCTCTTGTTGTCGTAAGAAATGAAGAAGTCGATCACATTTAAAAATAAAATTATAAAAAGAACTTTGCCATCGTTCTTTTTCAAGACCCGCTGGTAAGGGAACAAATTCGTATGTGACAGTGGATTCAATCAAAACATGTTTTTTATTTGTAAGACAACGACGATGTTGATTTTCATTACTATTCAAGAGAGTCGGCTGATATTGAGTTAACCAAAGTGGACCTAGTTCGACAAACGTAATTTCAGCACAATTAGTACACATGTCATTGTCAATTGGATATGAATTCAGTATCATATGATTAATAAGTAAACTAGCTTCGCTTAATTTCCAATTATAAATTATTAACCGCATTGTTTCCATGAGAGGTCGAGCAAGCATTGATATATCGAGAGCAACTCTATGCAGAGATAACAATGTTTCCAAGTTCAATGGTTTACATTGTTCGATATAAGTAAGTAAACGAACTGATTCAGCTACTGATGCATCCCAACTATTAATACATTCTTGTTGCCGATATTCATCGACATTCAGAAATGATTCGTTATCGAAATAAAATGTATTTTCTTTTTTAACTGAAATATTATAAAGTTGTTCATCATCAAGCATTTTACGCAATGATCGATCAGTATGATCGCGTGTAGAAAAAGTTGATCGAGTATATGTAAAACAGAAAATAATATTATCATTGCCATTTGGTATTAAATAAGTTAATAATGGTTTGACACAAAAACGAAAAAAAGCATTTAATTCTGAAATATTTGGCTTGAGAAATAAACAAATCGCATTTAAATGAGAGAAATTATTGATATAATTCAATATCTTATCAATAGTGTTTACATCTTGATTATTTCTTTGTATATCGTCGATACCAGGTGTATCAATGAAACGTAAACTTAAGCCATGGTTTAAGACGAATACATGCGATTTACATTGTTGTGTTACTGATTGATCAAAATTTTCATTCAAATCAACAGTATCAATTTTGGCAGCAAATTTATCGAAATGATTACAGACTGTATTACAAAATGAAACTGGCTCACCTTGTTCAGCATGCTGAAAACTTTTGAATTTCAAGTAATTAATAAACGTTGATTTTCCAACATCTGTTTCTCCCATGAGAAGTACATTAATTTCGGTCGGCTTTGGTTTTGGAAATGGTTCTTTGGAGGGTGATAAAATGCGTACTGTATCTAAATAGAAAAATGTGTTTGTATTGGATACTGGAAGATTCTATAGCACTACCAAATTTAATAATATGTCTCTGTGAATTTTTTCAGGTTTATAATTAATGATTTAAACTACAACTGTCGGTGGTAGTTAAATAAACTGAATGATTAATTCAATGGTAATATAAACATTTAAAAAAATAATCGGAAGTCTGTTAAAATTTGATCGCTTACCTGTCGTAGGATCACGGTCATTTGTGGATACTTCTACCAATGGGGATCTTACGAAGATAAAATCTTCTAGTCTTTCTGTGACATCAGTGAAATCAATGTAGACTATTTTGATTTGTTGTTCTAGATGTTGCCGTTCCCAAGTCAATTCTTGATAGATTTGTTGGTATCTATTTTCTTCTTCACGTTTTAAACGATCACTTGAATACCAAAGAATGAAATTTTCTTTTTCACGAGAGTAAGTACGTTTAAGTATAACATCAATATCAACAATTGTTGACGATATTTCTTGATTAGGATTGATATCAAGTGCGTTGCGATATTCAATTTCATCGTTCTTTAATTTTTCGATTGATATTGATTTATTTAATAATTGTTGAACCTGACTGAGAAATTTTTTCATTTCAGAATCGCACAAACATTCATAACGTTGATCTCCAAGAATATCGTCTAATGCTACTGATTCGAAACGATGTCGACGAATATCTGCAAGTGCTAGTCTGAGACGTTCCTGAAGATGATCGTATGAATCTAGCATAAAACGACGCTTTTGTTGAAAAGTTTTAGAACGTTGATCTAGTGTTGTGCTGGACATATTTATCGGAAGATTTTCAAATATTTCTTTAAGATTTTTCATCTGACGATTTATTCGATGGATTACAATTTCGATTTGTGCAGTATGGGAATTATCTGGTTTAGGAAAGCTACATGGTACATGAAATTGTGATCCGTTGTAAAGCCATCTTAACGGTTGCATCGTATACACTAGTGGCTGATGATTGTTCGAATCTTTTTGCCAGTTTTTTATTCTATTAAGAATAGTTAATAATGATATATTCGATTGATCGATACACGTTTCAGGTCCATATACAGTAATATTCTGTAATTGATTGGTAAGATATAGATTATTACTCTTATTTGTAATTGTAATTCGGTTATGATTAAGTTGATCGCAAATTTTATAAAGCAATTGATCGATTAAATCGACTGAGTGATTCTTTGGAATTTGTATAATACATAAAATTTCAAAACCCCATACAATTTTCGTTATCATGTGAGTTGCTTGAGTTGATGTTAATGGTGCTGCGACGATTCTATCCGTTTTATGAGCTGTTACTTCTAACCATTCTTTTCTAGCTCGATAAGAATAATGTAGAAAACGAGTATTTTCATTGACCGAGTAATTATATTCAATAAAACGGCTAATGCCTCGTGGTGTAACCATTTGAAGACAAATGCTTTGTCGAATTGCATCGTCAAAATCAACATCTTTGAGAAAGCTGGTGAGGTCTCTTGATGAATCACCTGAAAACACTCGACATATAGAACGTGTACGTGGTACTTTACTTTCAAATGCTTGGACCGAATGTGAATCGATTAAATTATCTGTTGAAGCGTCATAAAGTGAACCTAATCGACCTGAAGCATCGATCACTTTCCGTTCAATTGGATATCCATCTTGAGTTTTGTACAAGTTCAATGTTGACGAACTGCGCCAAATCTCGTTCATAGCTTCACTTTTTGCTGGTGCATAAACACTGTGATTTGATTATCTACAAAAACAAAAAAATTGAAAATATTTCATTCGTATATATGTTTGGTGGTGGTTTCAATATATCATTTTCTTAATCTTATAACTGCTTTGACTTGCAATATTGATGCCAATGTAATGGGCGTGGACGTTTTCTGTTCAATAATCTTTAGAATGATTGTAACTGAAATGAGCAACGTAGAATCAGAAGAAGAAGAATTTATGCCTTTGGTGCAATGAAATCAACAGTAGAGGCAAACCACTTTCATGACATGAGCGAAGAACTTAAATAAAACGTCAGTCTGTTAGCTCGACAAATAGAATATATAGTCATCAATTGATTTCAATCATGCTTTTTTGTGATGAATCACAAGTTCTATTTTCTTTGTTGAAGAAAAAAAATAAATTGTATTGGCTACTTTCCTTTTAAAAAACTGAGAGAGTGTGTAAAAAGAAACAAAAAAAATTGAAATAGTCAGATGGAAGTATATTCTATTGACGCCGATAAAAAACGATCGTTCTTCTACTGTCTCAAATTTATGCACTAGATGACTAATTCAAATAAAAATAAATATTCTACGACATGCATTTTTCGTGCTTACTTGATGATGAAATAAAATGGTATTGGCTGAATCATTTTCTAGAAGGTTTAAGTCATGTGCAATGTAAAATTTTCAATAATTAAATGTGCCTTTTTAGATTAAATATAAATATGTCAGTAAAAATGGAAACTACTTCTGGCATTCTTACATGTAGAATTATTTCGAATTGTGTTTGGCAAGAATACATCGCTGGTTTACCTTCCAATAGTAATAGAAAATCATATGAGAGAGATGCAAATTCTTTAAGAAATATTAAAACATTTGTCAAGATCTGTTTATATTAAATAGCATAATTTGTTCATTTATAAGATAAAACGATAATGATAGATATAATCAATGCACCTATTAATGTGTTTTTATTCGTTACTACGATCAAGAAAGTTCAGTCGCAGAATTCAAGACGATATCGATCGAACCCTTTAAAATATCGACAAGCAAAATAATCTCTTGTTCAGTAATTGTAAATGGCGGAGCAATTACAATATGATCTCCGGTAGTACCGTCAAATGTGCCCTTCGAACCAGGATATAAGGCAACTGAAAAATAATAGACAAAATGAAAAGTCAATAGAAGATAGTACATAATTTACCTCCGCGCAGAATGCACTCTTTAGCAATAGTATCAACAAATGAAACGTTGGATGGATACATCTCTTTTGTTTGCTTGTTCTTGACAAATTCGACAGACCAAAACAAGCCGCGACCACTGAAAAGAGATGAGAAAAAAGTTTGCTCATTTAGTATACAAAATCTATACTCAGATTAATCATTCTTGAATAAATAATTGACAAATTTTTAATCTTAAGTGAGAGTACAATTTACTAACCGAATATCGCCAACATGTGGATGGTCGTCTAACTGCATTTTGAGTGTCTTTTCTAAGAAGAGTCCACGCTGATTGCATCGTTCAACCAAACTTTTGTCCTTCATCACTTTGAGAACTTCTAAGGCTGCCCTACATCCGACGGCATGCAACTGATAAGTGTACCCATTGTTAAATGCACGTGAACCATTGAAAAAGACGTTAGCGACTTTGTCTGAAATAAGCACCGCTGCCAGAGGAACATATCCACCTGCGAGACCTTTACCATTGAGTTGAATATCGGGTGGAGATGTAAGTCCCTCCCATTGCCATGCATGCATTTTGCCTGTTCGGCCCATACCACACATGATTTCATCAAGAACGAATAGAGCACCGTGTCGATCACATATTTCACGCATTGTCTTGAAATAGCCAGACACTGCAGGAGTACAACCACTCGTGGCACCGACAACTTAACATAACAAGCCCAATTATGTTCTCGAAAACAAAAATATAGTGCTTACTTGTTTCTGCAAAAAACGCAGCCACCGTATTGGGGCCCAATTCTTGAAATTTAGCGTCCAATTCATCACCGAGGCGTTTCACATAAGCCTCGTCTGATTCGTTAATCAACTTGTAACGATAAGCAAAGCAAGGCGACACATGATAAAAATTAACCGGAAAAAGTGGTAAAAATGGAGCTCGACGTGACTTGTGGTTACCTAAACTTAGTGCTCCCAGTGAATTACCATGATAACTTTGTTGACGAGCAATAAAGTTAACTCTTTGAGGTTGCTTAGTTTCTAAATGATATTGTCTAGCAAGTTTTATTGCTGATTCCACAGCTTCCTGTTAAGAGAAGTCATTTCTCTTTCAGAATATCGTCAATAGATGACTTACAGATCCACCACTGACGAAGAAGGCCATCTTCATGCCACTGTCTTTGGTGAGTTCATCGGCCAATTCTTCAGCCGCCTGAAACAAATCATTGACAAATGAGAAACTCAATTTCATATTTCAGTCATTTTCAGCAAGAATGAAAATAGATCCACGTTCCTAATTGTTGACTCGACACAATGTTTTTTGTCTGTTTCTTCGTAGATAAAACGCGACTATGATTAGTATAAAATCATCACTATAGAAGCATGAGTCTCAACAACGCGTGCATCAACATCAATTCGAACTGTTCTAGTCTATATCGATTCGCGAGATAACTTACCATACTAGTAAACGTTCCTGAGTGTGCAAAAGCAACAGTTTGTAACTGATCGACAATCCCTGCAATGACACGTTGATCGCCGTATCCAATGCTCGTAACAGCAGCGCTAACACCACCATCAAGAAGTTTTCGTCCATCCTTAAGATAAATATAATTGCCTTCTGCTCGTACAGCCTGCAATGGTTCACGATCGAGACGACGATGAAAAACATGCGAAAACTCTATATTTGTTGGCGAAGCGGTTGCTGAAGCCGAGATCATGTTGAGAGGTTGAAATAAAATGATTCGCACTCAAATTATCTCTCTACACCGTTTATATTGCGCTAGTGATAAGACACTTCAGTGTGCACTTTTCATCCAACACGCATGTTGTTTGATTACGTGAGAAAGAAACATTCGACTGTGCGCATACAGATAAAAGGAACAATGATGATTGAAGCCTAGATACTTGACTTTTATATGACCGTTGAAGGTTTCTATGGAATGATAAATTTCAATAAAAAAAAATTGTTTGCCACAGACACGGTACAAATATTGAGCTTACTTGAAAAACTCAATTTGATGATTTAGATGGGATATAGAAAGCAATTTTCTTTGTTGTTCTTTTTTGCATGTGTATTTCTAAATTACTTGACTTAACACATTTTTCCGGATCGGCTGTAGTTAAATCCTTTTGGCAAGTTGTGTGACATGGAATAAGAAAAAGAGAGATAGAATACAATGATGACATTTTATTTTTGACATTTATTTTTATTTGACATTTGCTTTGTGGTGGTGTATTGTTTTCTTCTCGCAATCGGTTACTCGCAGTTGATTCGACTCTCATCGAATATCAACAGAAAAATAATATATAACATTCCTTCTTGCTACTTGACATTTAATTTGTACTATATCGAGTGACGTATGCGGACACATTGCTATTGTCATTCAATCAAATGAGGTTAGCAGCTGTAGGACCTATGGCTTTAGGAACAATGCGTTCGTTTCTTTCACGCGATTCATTTTGAAGATTCGACATTTTTCTCTCGTAACACTTCTTGACTAAACTCCAATCAAATGAACAAGATAGAAGGAAAAATAGCCCCATTGCTTTAAAGTATCGAGTAAAACTATTGCGTTGTTTTGCGCACCGTATCACGCTGCATTTTTACTCACTAAACTCAGCTTTTATTTTTCGTTTCTGGGATATTTATGTTATAATTTCTCAGTGCGAACTCTCTCTTTTAATGAACTTTCAATCTTCCAGTACAGATCTCATGCTCATCTTGCGGTGTCTTTGCCAATTTATATTCGTCGTGAACATCGCTCTATGTGCAGTGATTTCTTCCAATCGTACTCTTCTACGACTACAACAGGTAATACAAGAACATTTTTTGACAGCGTAAACTTGGAGTAATTGTCGTTCTTTGTTGAATTAGCCACCTGAACCAACCTCGATAAACTCATCATCGGCGACGATTGTAGATCCATCCATTTCAGCTGACACATTTGTGCTCGGCATGTTTCCGTTGGCCAAAGGTGCCTATTTATTTAATGGTGCTGACGAACAAGAATGGCAGATTGGTCGTGATACAGATGCAACATTCGTCGTCTATGGTATGTTCAGGAGATTCCAGTCTTTGTGCGTTTTCATATTTTTTGAAACTTAAAAACTCCTACATAAACCTTGAGAACAGAACAACAACTTTTAGAATTGCTGTTTCTGATTTGGCGGCTCGTAACAAATGTGAGGATCTCGAATTTTCATCCCTGTACTGTTGTGTTTGGACAAAATCAGTTTTGTAATATCCTGTTTTTTTTTGGAAAATCTGTGCATACGTTACTACAGTAAATGTACACCAGTGGTCTTCTGTCAGGACTAGATAAACAATCCCAAGAAACTAATTTGAGATCGTAAATTTTACAAGAGAACAAGTTTTGTCTGTCTCTTATTCCTTTCACGTGAGAGGTTCAACTTTTTTCTATATACGATCACGGTGTAATATCTGCATCGATGCCAATTTGTCTTTCATTGCTCACTGCCGAATCATTAGTAATGTTCAAGGACATAGAATAGTCAAGAAATCGAGTTCCTTGCTTATTGTTTCATCTAAACCGATATCAGGTAAACACGACAGACACATGCCTTAAAGACCAAAGCAAAGCTTGCATAGTGGATTTTATTCGAAAAAGTACTCCTATTGAACTTCAAAGTTGAATTCTGCCGAAAACCAATCTTGTATTGTATGTTCATCTTTGCTTTCGTGATTTACAAGCCTGTGTGATATTTGAAAGCTTATTGTAAACGTAAGTGACATTTTGGTGAAAGTGCGTAGATCGATTACGAAAATTTTAAGAAAGCATAGAATTGGATAGCGTTAAAAAACGCCTTTTTCAGTTTTTTTCATGATTTGCTAATCGGAAAAAAACGATGTCTCCTTTTCTCACTTCGTCTTCAACATAATATCGAGGGCCTGTTGAGTAATTTGTATCAGCGTAAATGTCAACACGTGATTTCATTGTGTTTCGTAATAGGTTAATAAAAAAAAAGAGTCGACAGAATGCTAAATCAACCCTACATCTATCATTGAGAGGATTACCGGTAATGGCAAACGCTATGAATATATTTTCGGTAAACTTTATCCATCTAGAGAAAAGTTTCTTAAAGCGATATATCAGGAATTCAACTACCTGCAACACTAAGTTTAATTGTGTGGTTTGAATACTTTAGGTGAGAATTTAAATGGGTCTGTACTCTCATTTACGAGTCATCCTCAATCGTGTTTATTGGAACGAAAAGATCGTTTATACACATTGACAGTGAACACTCAAGGTCCGTACCAGCGCATGAGTGAACGTGCTTTCTTGACGATCAATCTGCCTTATTATAATTCAACGTTGTACGTTTGCCTTCAACTACCTAATACATCATATCCGATTCATCAAGGCGATCGGTAAGCTTTTTCTCATCTGCTATACGTTACAATTTATCGATTAAATCTAGGCCGGCTTTAAAATTCATTGTCACTAGGCGTGCTCTGCCTGTCTGGGCGACGATTCTCTGCTTGATATTACTTCTCTCTCTATCCGGTCTTTTTTCTGGTCTCAATTTGGGCCTTATGTCATTGACACCACACGATCTTGCCGTCATTCAAGAAGCCGGTACACCAAATGATAGAAAATACGCCAAACGCATTTATCCAGTACGTAAACGAGGTAATTTTTTACTGTGCACAATTCTTTTGGGTAATGTTCTGGTCAATTCAACTACAACAATTCTACTCGATTCATTGATAAGTGGTATTCTAGCTGTGGCTGGTGCCACTTTTGCGATTGTCATTTTTGGTGAAATCATTCCGCAAGCTATTTGTTCACGGCACGGCCTTAAAATTGGCTCTAAAACTATTCTTCTCACTCGCATTTTCATGATCATTACAGCTCCTATTGCTTTTCCTATCAGCAAAGTACTGGATCTTATTTTGGGTAAGAAAAAAAAGCTTAGTGATTTTGTTTTCGCAAAGAAAAAAGGTTCAATACAAATTTTTTAGGTGAAGAAGTCGGCTCCACTTATACACGTGATCAAATGAGCGCATTATTGAAACATACACAAACGACTGATATTGAAGAAAGTGAGAAAAATATCATGAGAGGTGTGTTAAGTTTGAAAATGAAGAAAGTCCGTGATATAATGACTAATTTAATCGATGTTTTCATGCTCGAAACTGATCGAGTTGTTGATGATGAACTCGTGTTGACTGTGCATGGCTATGGATACTCACGCATACCAGTTTACGAAAACCAACGGTGAGAAGTCAACCGGTAGTTTTCGTCAAATATCACTTATCCATTGTTTTTCTCGTCTAGTGATAATATTATCGGTTTGGTGAATATTCGTGATTTTGCTCTACTTGATACGGAATCAGGAAAATTCACTGTGAGAAGTTTGATGAATTTTTATAATCATCGTTATGGCAAAGTGATTATGTCTGATGATTCATGTTATGATGTTTTCAATAAACTTAAGAAAGGTAACGAACAAAGAGCACTGCACTTTTCTCGTCATGGTATGTTTTTAGAACAATATCATATGGGTGTTGTCGTTGAACACGACAATAGTAGTGAGAAAGATCCAAAGGTAAGAGCCGTGGGTATTGTTACATTGGAAGATATTATCGAAGAAATGATTCAAGAAGAAATCATTGATGAAACTGATGTATTTAGTAAGTTAAACAAGCCCGAGAGAGATAAATCTATTAGGTAAAAATTCGCATCTATTTAGCTGATAACCGTGGTAAAGTTCGAAATATGTTATCGCAAGCACCCGACTTTTCGGTATTCATCCATCAAACGGACACATCTGATGAGACGACAAAAATATCAGCTCAAATGAAAGTTGCCATTTTACAATTTCTTTCAACAAGTACGTGAGAGTCGGCATAAGCTGTGTTAAGAAAGGCATTGTAGGTAAAGGAAAGTTGACTAAATGAATAACGTTTCTCGTTTTCAGACAAGATAATCGAAATAAAACATCTTGAAAAGTAGATGTTATACTGAAAATCATAGTAACTGAATTTCTAGACAACAATTACCTTGCGTTTGTATTATAGCTGTCGAACCGTTTGCCTCACGATTCATTTCATCGCACATTCTTGCTCGTTTATTAAATGCTCAATTCTATCAGGAATTCGAATACGATGAAGATAGAACTAAAGATGATAAAGCAACCTATATCTATGAGAATGGAAGACCTGCTGATTATTTCGTGCTTATTCTCAGCGGACAAGTAGAATTGATAACTGGCAAAGATAAAATTGTAAGCGAACTCGGTCCATTTTCGTATTTCGGTGTGAGCGCACTTTGTGTAAGTAACAGTGATCATTTTATTTTAAATCGAATTATCATGTTTTTTTTTTGTCTAAAGAATTCCGATAACAAAGTGGAAGATATTTTACGAGCGAAAGATCTCAAATTTCGACCATTTATACCAGATTTCAGCTTACGAGTTTGTGAAGATGTGCAAATTTTACGCATTCGTCGAGCAGATTGGTTAGCGGCTATACGTGCGACATTCTTTGACAATAAACAAAAAGAAAACGGTGGTATCCCAATGGTCAATCCCGATGGCAAACAGATTGATTTATTGACACAAGAATTGGAGAAAGCAAATTGTGTCGATCGAACAGGGACAATTACTAGAACTTCAAGTAACGCAAGTGATAAAATGCGTGATCGAACAATGTCTCTGACGCCAGCAACAGTTTCCGGACTTGTCAAAACAGAGCCCGAACGTTTTTTCAGTCGACTTCGTTCAAAAACTATTTCACATAATGTGGATAATAAGTTGTCAGAAATTGCTACGCTTTCAAATGGAAATGCGCCCAGTTTAACCGATAAACAACGCCATCATTTATCTCGAATTGATCAGACTTAATTATTGTTTCATTTAGTACTATCTATAACGATTCCCTCGAATAAATGTCCAGCAGGCTACATCATCACAAGAAATATATGATTAATATCGTTTGAAAATATAGTCCCCTATGGTTGTTGATCTGAGTCACTATAGTTTTCTCATTCATAGAATTACCACATATATAGCAATTAGTAGTTTTTAAGGTTAAAGGAAGAATTCAGAGCTTCACCATCTTTTTCAGGGAAACTATTTATTCATTTGGGCGTGGGGATTAATGTTCGCTGAACGGTAAATCGTACCAGCACCCTCAAGAAAAAAGTCCTTTGACTCACCTTCTACGGACATCTCATGTAGTCACAAACAATTTTTGGTCAAATGTTGATCTAAATCATACTTCAAGATTTTTTCATTCATGTTCTCGGCTATTCTATCAGCGTAAATATTATTTGGAAGATCTGCACACTAAATTCAATTTCTTTCAAGCCAATAGAATGAAAAAACTTGTGGAACGTGTTACGCACCGAGAGAAACATACGAAAGCAAAGTCGACGAAAAAAACACAATTGTTTGGTTGGTCGATGATATAGCACGGAAAGATAAGCGTTTATCACATTTTTTTTTGCATCACACACAACTGAAAGCCTATGCGTTTAAGTAGTTGGCTGTCGTGTCTGCTATAGAGTAGCATTGCTTTAGTTCCTTCATCGACATGGCAGCAAACGCCATTCCTATTCTACTTTCAAACGAAGAAATTATAAACTTATTCTATGCCGCGTTTGCATCCTACGACCTACCACAATGGACATTGGTGAAAATGCCAAGAAACGTAAACGTAAATAAAAATAAAATCAAACGACATAAATTGAATGGTTGGCGCTTCAGAAGGCATTCAAGCAAAGCCTTGTAAGGAGAATCATTTTAAAACTTGTACTTACATGTATTCATTTCATATTATAGTTTTCCATGCAAAAAATGTTTGAAGACAGGAAAAGAGAACGACACTTGCTGTTGGGTTTCGGAATACGGCACTGTTCTTTTTCGGGCTCGTTTTGACGAATATACGAACGAATATGGTGATCTACACGGTGTGGGCCTAATTCAAATGAAAATCTACACTCAAGGGTGTGAGAGATGTCCAATATACACGGCTGCTCAGTTCAGCTATGAGCAGTGGTGTGAAACTTTCTATTGGCTATACATATGGATTCTGGAAGAGTTCTACGGCTATATATTTCCGAACTCACATGGAAACCAGAGGTGGCGGCAGACTAAGCCACACCGAACAGCACTTTGTGAAGCACGTCGAGATGGTTGGTGCAAATATTGTAACCAATAAAACCAATCTTCTTTATATGTAGAGGACCTGATGATGTGGGTGTCCTTATGTGGTAGTAGAAGCGACACACACACACCCTCAAGTCTAATATTTTTCGATTCTATAATCAGAAGCTCCGATCAATTTAGTTCTACTCTGTGTTAGATTAATATCAAATAATTGCTATTGCTCTACTCGTTTAATGAAACCAAAATTGAAATATCTACTTCATTTATTATTACATTGATTGTTGATGATGATTATTATTATTATTCTAGATTCTGTTCATTCATTTTCAAAAAATTCACAATCATGAACTTCTCCTATCGCTTCAAGTACATTGTCATAGGCGATCAAGGTTTATTTTCGTTATTTTCAAACTCTTGTTCTCCATGAATATTATATAGGCGTAGGAAAATCTTGTCTTTTACTCCAATTTACCGATAAAAGATTTCGGGCAGTGAACGATGCTACCATAGGTATAATAATCTTGACAAACTAATCAATTTTACTCAACTCGAGTATATCGTAGGTGTCGAATTCGGCAATCGATTCGTTACAATCGATGGCAAAAGCATTAAATTACAGATCTGGGATACGGTATGACTGCGATTGTATTTTTGGTTTAAATAACGCTCTTTTATAGGCTGGTCAAGAACTATACCGCTCAATTACACGCTCATACTATCGAGCAGCAGCTGCAGCTTTTCTCGTCTATGATATTAGCAAGTAAGTTGACCATATTTTTACTGAAAAAAAGAATTTAATTAAATAGACGCAAAACATTCGACCATATGACAATGTGGCTGAATGAAATGCAAGAATATTCGACTTCCGATATGATTTTTGTACTGGTGGGCAACAAATGGTATTTATTTTCGTTTTTTCCGAATACACATGTCTAGTTTATTTTTCATCTGAAGTGATCTGTCGAATGAACGAGAAGTACAAAAGGAAGAAGGTGAAGCATTTGCACAGAAACATGAAATTATGTTTATGGAAACATCGGCTAAGACAGCAACTAATGTCGAAGAAGTAGGATAATGCTTATTTTTAACTCTACCTGCAAATGTTTATTGTCTTCTCATTTAGCTATTTGTAAATACGGCTTTTAAAATCTATGATAAAATTAAAACCGGAGTGATTGATCCAACGAACGAGGTAAATTTTTGATGCGTTTTTTATTCTCTATTATGAATTTTCCTTTTTTTTCTCAATGCAGTTGAATGGTATTATGCTTGGTCGTCCACAGTTGAGTCCAGATGATTCTAAACATGATAACAAATGCTGTATTACAAGCAAATAAATTCTTTGTAGTTGACTTTTTGTTAATAATCGTATATGTTTATGGAGTGATATTGTAGCTGTTTACGGGTGTGGGTGTGGGTGAGGACGGGTATGAGGTGTGTGTCAATGTGTCGATGTGGGTGCTCTCTCAATCCAGAACGTCACCTCACATCCCACATCCACACCCTCAAGTTACTTACTGCGAAAAAAGAATAACTTAAAGCCAATGTATGAAGAAAATCTGGCGTTAAGACTCCTTAAATAATTTTGTTGTTTGTAAATGGAGCATTATTTGTTTGTTACCATTGATGATTTTTCATTTTATCTCTTTGTAGCAATGCATATTTGGATATTGCCAACCGTCATTCGTACTGTGTTTTTTCCTTTTTTATCTCATTTTTTTATAGAGCCGAACACAAAAGGATTGAAGCGAAACGTATATATGCTGGACGAACGATGCAATTGAGTAATTTTCTATAATGCAAATTATACGTATACTGAAACATCTAAAAAAAAACGCTGTCATAACTCTTACCGTTTCTTAAAATATATCCTGGTGACAAAAACATTTTGAAGGTGTGGATGTCGATGGGCATTTATCTGAATGAAACTTTTTTTTAACAGATATGTTGAATTCTCATGCTAACAGAGGGTGTTACTCTTCTTTCCGTATGACCCTCTTGAGACTTTGTTTGGCTTCTTCGAAAGCAAACACTGAGCGAGTTTATGTTCAACACACGAACTAATCTCTGATGTCTATTGTGACCGCTGCCATTGATCTCTAGGGTTGATTTATAGTTAAAATTAGAGTACTATATGACCAATACTTGTAGAAATCTTAACAATCATCGAATCGTGTCTCCTATTTTAAAGCGACTAGAATTGCGCTGAAAGCTGTTTTTCGAAAAATCGAACTTGAAAATAAATCAATCTTGAAAAGAACGAATAATATACCGTGGTGATGAAGTACCTTTTTTTCTCTAACCGTTTAGCTGATGGTTTCAATCTCACCACTAATCGATGCATAGCACAGTGACAAATGCAAAAGAAACATATGATTAGAGAGATAGAAGCAAATAAAAAAAGATGCGGTCAATGAATATTTTATTTTTGGTGATACATACGTAAGTAGTATTCTCGAATGTTCATAGAGTGACGTGGTCTAGTGGTTATTTTTAGCCTTTCACTTATATTTTTTATCTATTCACTGTCACTTAGTTTATTAGATCAAGTCGGAGCTCAGACATGACAAGGTGCCCCCCAATACGATCAATGTTCATCGAACATCGTATGTGGGTGCCTCCCTCTGATAAACACTGAAAATGCTGGCATCTGTACTTCCCTTCATGTCAAATGCTCTGAATTTAACTCGTGCGCCAACGATAACCGAACATGTTATCGACCTGGTTATCTATGTGCGAATCATCCGCGATGCCAGAGTACCCCATTGTGTTATCCAGTGGATATCGCTCTTCAAATATTGTGTCCAGCGATTCTGCCAACGACGAGTAAGCGATGAAAACGAAGATTTTCTAATGTTTATTTCTTCATCTTCTAGCTCCGCCTCCAGTGATGCCCATCGATGACATTTGTGCAAATGCGACATGGCATCAGAACGGAATCATTGTAGCTGGAGAAAATGGAGAAGGTTCCACATTGAATCAACTCAACGGACCCGAAGGATTATTTGTGGATGGTAATGCTGCCATTTATGTTGCGGATTTTTGGAACAGTCGGGTCATCGTGTTTGAGTTGACTTGTTCTCATATGTCATCATTTATTTTAGGTATGATTTGAAAGCTGATGAGAATATCTTCCTCTAACAGATCATTGATCAAATTATTGAATGTTTCACGCCAATAGTATCCAGTGGTCGAGGTGGTTGGTGGCAACGAAGTAGGTAGTCAAGATAGCCAACTAAATCACGTAACAGAAGTTCTAGTTGACAAGAATTGAACCATGTTTATTTGTGATTATGCTAACCAACGAGTTTAACAATGGTTTAAAAATGACAGTCATAGACAAACAATCATTGCAAATATCGTATGTTTTAGACTAGCGATGGACAACAAAGGATCGTTGTACATCTTGGACTACGTGAAACATCAAGTAACGAAATGTTCTGACGGTCAGATACTAGCTGGTGGAAATCAAGAAGGATCTGCAATTAATCAACTCTCAGAGCTTGTCCATATGTTCGTCGATCAGGATCATTCAGTTTTTGTAGCTGATTTTCGGAATGACCGTGTGATGAAATGACCAGTAGGTGCCAAAGAGAGCATTGTTATCGCTGGCGGTAATGGGCATGGAGATGATATAAATCAGTTGAAGAGACTCGCTTCAGTGATTGTTGACAAAATCGATACCGTCTATATTGTTGACTTTGATAATCATCGCGTCGTGCGTTGGCTCAAAGGTTCCAAATCTGGCAGTGTCATCATTGGCGGTCGAGATATTGTCAGTGGAATAGATCAATTATCTGGTCCGACTGATATGGCATTTGATCGGCAAGGAAACCTATATGTAACCGATTATGGAAATGAGCGCGTCCAAATGTTCACTATTAACAAAAGTTCTTGTACCAAAAGCACGTCTTAAAAAAATACTGTTAATTGAACGATGCATACTATGTTTTCTTCTTAGAATTACTTTAGAGTGAAACTGATTGTTATTAAAACAATAAGGGACAGAAAAATGTATAAATTTAGCATGCTGTCGATCTCATATTTTAGATTTTTTGGAAAGATCCATGATTCCATTGATAGTACTTCATTAAATTCAGAAAAATAGTGACACATTAGTTTGATTATACGATAATATATGATTAAAAATCATCGGTCAGTACCGCATTCAATTATTTTCGACTCACGCTTATGAAAAAAAAACAAGTGGATTTCTCAACGATCACTTTGTATTCTTCATAGACATAATACTGAAATCAGTTTGCAAGATTTTGCAAAGATGTGTCAGATAAAGTTTCGATGGCAACGATAAGCTCACATAGGGTAATCAAACTATTTATGGGATCCCCACTTAGAGATAATGCAAAGAGTAGTGATATAAAAGAAACGCGTAAGATTTTTTCTTTTCTCTGCAAGTGTGATCGAATTTATTTTTCTCTCCAGCAGTAAGAAACTGTTGCCATTTTTTACATTTTCTTTTTTTCACTACGTTAGTTTCTATTAGAATGTTATACTCGTTGCTATAGTCACCAGTGAGCTTTTTTAGGAAGTACTGCGTAAGCAAAAAAATCCAAAGTCGACAGTTTGCCAGAAATAATGCAAGTTAAGTTAGAAAGTCCGTTACATGCTGTTTGTACAGATTTTATTTTTACTTTGTTTAGGGGTGCTTAGAATACTACGTTCATTTCTCTGATAAGATTACTTCACATTGCATGAAAAATGACTCATCCTTTACTATTCTTTCACTTATGGTTCTCATGTCTAGTGACAACAGTACTTTGTCTAAAGATATGTTTGATTATTTAATCAAGGATGAAGCAAATTCTGAGCAGAGAAGCAGGAATATTAATATAAATTTTATCACTGATTCTAAAACAGTGTATCTATGATTTATCTTTTATTTTGTTCGAAGAAAGACGACTGTGATGATTTTAGATAGAATATGTGCTTACATGGTTAATATTGAGCTTTATTTAGCTTCTTTAGATTAATAATGATACCGTTTTCTTCCAAAACATAAATTTATATACGCAACGAGAAATACAGAGAGGAAGTGAGAGAAGAATAAAACAAAGAATGAGTGGAAGAAGGATATATGAAGGAAGAAAAACAGACATTAAGCATGATACTGATGAAAGAAGATAATCAGTTATCTTTGGTGTCGTAAGAGTGAATAATCAGCATATGAACAATGAAGTTACAGAAGAAGGAAAAGCAAAGTATTACATAGACAATAGTGACACGGGAAAGTTGTATCATCATACATAAATAGTCAATAAAATCAATAAGTAACAGTAGACAATAGTAAGCAACCAAGTTAACTGCGATCCTTACAACAACAACCAGAAAAATATTAAGAAGTATAAAATTGTTTTTTTCTTGCGGCGCACGTGTACTATCAAAGAAAACTGTTGATGCAGATTCTTCCTTTCCCATTGACTTTCATGTGTGCTTTTGCTACCCTAACTCTTTACTATTCGAAATGAAGGAACTGGTTGTGTTTAATCATTCAACTTGTCTGTATTAGAGTGTAATGTGAAGTCATAACTATCTGTAGATATGAGAGTTAAATAAACTTAGGGGTTACTTCGCAGATTTTTTATTTATTTTGATGAGTTGTGTGATCATTCATAATTTTATGTGCAATAATTTTCTTACCTACTCGATTCATTGATAAGTATAGTTAGGGATATCAACTGACTGTTTTTATCAATAATGATACATCATCTAGATGATTTCACCAACAGAGAAATGTGGACAACGAACGATACATCTTGAAGAAAAAAAACAATCGAATGTTAAGCTTTAGGTTGTAGTTACGAGGAACTAAATTGCCTCAACTTCACTGTAACAACTTAATCACCATTCATCATTTGGTAATATGTTAAATTATGATCGTTCTATAACTTTCTTCAGTTGATTGACAGTGTTTATTGAAGCTTTTTAATATTTTCCTGTAAAAACATATCATGGACTATTTTTTTTCTCATCCTGGCGTAGCTTTGTAACAATTTCAGTATTAAGAAGCAATTTTCCAATTAGGAATGCAGCATAACCTTCAAATTCAATGAGAGATGAATGATACATTTTGCAAGCAGTAAATATGACTTAGTTCGAAAAATCTCAGGTCGCAAGTGAAAAATCATTGGCGATAGCACAAATATAATACCACTTCTCTTAATTTATCGGATTCATTTCGAACACGAAAGAAAACAATTTTGGCTAAGGACTTCAATAGATAGCCTTGCGGGCCGAAACAATATAAATTAGATATAAGAAAATGCGTCAATTTTGTTTGAAATAATTTTTCTCTGTAAGTATTTACATAATGCTGACGCTGTTCTGCGCTTTTCAATCCTGGTTGAAGAAAAACTAAAAAATATGTGGCTTCAAACAGAGTTTCAATTCTTGAATCAATGTGCGCCGAAAAACCATGAAGTCAATCGCTTCAAAATAAAATAGAAGACGTTCCAATAAGAACGAGTATTTTCAAATAATAGGCCATGCATAAAACTCTATCTTCCTTGAGATTCTTTTTCAACATCAAGATGATGTCTTCGAAATCAGCTTGGGGACGAAGAGGTCATAGCAGAAAAGATCCACACAAACACCCTTCATTTGCATTTAACCAGCCAGCCCATTTTTATTATATTATGTTTACTATTTATATCTCACGCAACACACCAGAGAGAGAAAGAGGAAATAACGGAAATGCATGATTGATTGGCGTATATGCACATCGATTTGGGTAGCAAATAGATAAAAAGAGCATGTAGCTAACACACAAGCAGACAAAATTGTTGAAAACGCTTTTAAACGCATAAAAAAAGGATGAAAAATCGAGAAAAAGTGGGTGTATTTAGATGGCAATAGAGCCTCCTGATTGTGAGCGAAAAAACACGCATGTTTCTCCTTTGTGTAGTTAAACATATTTTCGAAAATTTTGCTTGCTTGGACAATAAACAAAAGAAGAGAAGAAAAGAGAAGATAAGAGAAGATAAGGGTTTCTTCTTACAGTACTCTCTAGAAGCATTATTTCACTATAGATCACCTAAGCAGACACACATTTCGAAAAATGCGTTTAAACACTCAAACGGGAACCATGATAATGAGTCATTAGGGCTCATTAACAAAACGCAAGAAACTCGTTTTTCGAAATGTTCTTCTGCTTGCGCTGTATTGAGGATGGACATCAGCAAGCGCCGAAACCCGAACTACCCGGGTTCGGTCATACCCTGTTTCTGTACTACCCGGGTTTCATCATACCCAGATTCGGTATTGGAATTCGAGGGTCTACGGATTCGTATCCTTCGAAGCATAGAAATGAATAACAAATAGTACCTATAGATCGACAATAATAAATGATTTTATTTCAAAGGTTTATGGTCTTTTCCTCAATCTATCATAGATAATCTTATTTATCAGGAAAGTATACAATTAAATGAGCTTTTATGAATATTTCTCTAGGACTCAACTACATGAAACTGTCGAATGGTTCTCCTTATTGAAATGATCCTTCTGATAGTCTGAGTAGGGATGTGAGAATTCGAATACTACCAATACCAATACAATTTAGTATTTTTGGATATCGATATTAGCATTATTAGTATTGATATTGTTAGTAGACCGATGGAAAAAATCATGCATCTGCATTTCCGGAAAACTTAATAAGGAGAACCATTCGACGATTTCTTGTAGTTGAGTCCAAGATAAATATTAAGAGAAGCTCATTTAACTGTATCCGTTCCTGATAAATGAGATTAACTATGATAGGTTGAGCAAGTTAGAGTATCTTTGGCATGAATTCATCTTTTATCACCTACTATATATATATATATCCATAGGTGCTATTTATTATTCATTTCTATGCTTCGACGGATACTAAAAAGTAGACCAGAGAATCCCAGTACCGAATCAGAATATGATGAAACTCGGGTAGTACCGGGTACCCGGTATGACCGAACCCGGGTAGTACCGAAACCGGGTATGACCGAACCGGGGTACGACCGAATACCGTATACGACCGAATACCGTATACGACCGAACACCGTGTACGACCGAACCGGGTTAGTACTGACCCGAACTACCCGGTTTGTAACCGGGTTCGGTGCATGCCTAGATGGACATTTTCTGTAGGTATAATATAGAGGCTAAATGCACTTGTGAAGAAAAGCACTCGTCGAAATACAATGTTATGGCAGAGGAATGATCAACATGAACAAACTTCAATACTATTGCTCAGAACTCCATGCTAGTTCAGTACCAATACAATCACGAATGCAATGCGCAAACAAAAAATGTGATCACTAATCGCTCTAGATTCCCACTTTTTGTGTTACGCATTTTGCAGATATTTATAATTCTTGATATGGCGAAAGGTTACTATCATGTTCTCGATCTCGAAACACGTGTTATGAAACACATACCTGTTCATCATTCAGACACGACTATCGGTCAGTTCATGGAAGAAGTCGCGAATCGTTTTAAGATTCGCGAAAACTTTGAATTATACCATAAGAACGAATTGCTAAGATCGACAGCGATAATAAAAGCCTTGGAAGTTGATACACTATCCGATCCAATTACCATAGACCGCTGCACTTCTACTTTATACTCCTTCGCTCAACATGCTGACACTTCCACAGTACAGTCAAATAGAAAAGGAGACAGTGCATTTTTGCCACCGATTATCACTCCAAGAATATCGGATATCGTTACGCCCACGTCACCCGTTAGCGATGTGAGCTCCTACAAAATGCCTTCTAAGTACACCAAACTCGATAAGATAAATCAGCAACCGCCATCTTCATCTTATACAGTTCCTTCGTCAATCAACAGATCAGAATCTAACAAATTTATTGTCACACAGGAGATGCAACGAAACGTTCAAAATTCTTTTGAACAGAATACTATTTCGGAGATCGATGGAATACTAGACTCTGACGACATTCAAGCAGAAGTGCACGAATCTTATTCAGAATCAGATTTCGAAAGTGACGACGACAATAATCACGAAAAGCTGGAAGAATCAAGCAAATTTTTTCAAAAAAGTCGGCGCTTGTCAAAGTCAGAGCCTATGCTATTTCAAGCAAATGAAAACAACGGTGAAAACTATAGAAATGACTTTGAAGAAGATTCACCACAATTTTGTTACGTACCAGAATCGAGTAAATCAGAATTTCCTGTTCCTAAGATAACTGATTCTGGTTTATCCTACTGTGAGAAGATCAATTCTACAGCGAGTATGGAATATTCAAGACTACTAATTGTTAGAATTCGAAGTCTATGCAAAATTTATTGTCTCAACATAGCTCATAATAGTACAATAAAGGATTTAGTTAATGTCATTTGGGATGAAATACCATTTGAGGAGGAACGCTACACAATGGACTCTCATGTACTTCTTCTTTTCAATCATCGACTTCACATATTTATTGAAAGTAATCCAAGCGAGTTGGTAAAAGATTTTCTTCAGCTTTCACCGGACGATTCTGTAACAGACTTTTATGCTTATGGGCTACCTATAGAACATCGTGATTTTATGTACAATTTTGACACAGGCCACAATTCTCTTTTCAAAGTTTCGGACTCATGGGATCCAGTATATTTCACCGATTACAAACAACTGGAGCGATCTCAGAGTACTCTTTTGAGTAGTCTTTACGCATTGACATTGTATTTCAGATGCAATAATCGAGAATCAGCCGGCTATCGACGTGCTATGGAGGCTCAGTTTTTTCTTCAATTGAGAAAATATCTCTATCCACCAGCGGTTCTTGCATTCAAACATACAATTGAAGGCTCCATGTTTTGGTTTGAAAAGACTTTATTAATGGATGCACTAATACAATTACTGATTCGTCTATGCCCCAAAATAGTGTGCGAAATCCCAATTGATTCGACTGAATACTTTGATTTCATTCCTTTACTGTTCTGTTGGCTTCTTGAAAAGTGTGATCCAAACGAGGTAGAAGAAGACTTTTTTGCAGTGGTAAAATTAACTGACATTCGCCGAGATGAACATTTCTATTTTCAAGATCCGGTCACTACATCCGATATTAATTGTCAGAAACTCATTTTAGAAGAGTTTTCTGAGACACAAAGTCACGATAAACTGACACGCCATGTTGATCTCCGATCGTTTAATCGATACTTGGCAAGCCCTGCTAATCATTCACCTAATCTCGTCTTCACGCACAAGGAGTACGAGATTTATCATCCTAGTACCGATATCTCATCTGAGTTTAATGAACTTCCTTGTTGGACCGAAAATGAAATATATAGATACAACAAGATTATGAGTCGAAAATACCCTTCTCTTACCATAATAACACGTGGTGCATTGACCGCTCGTATTAGCAATCAACTTGTTCTTCTAAATAAAGAACGCACAGTTTCGCTACTGTTTTCGAGACAGAATAAAACTACCGAGAATAAAGGCCAGCAGCACAATATCAACCATTTCTTTCAAATATTTGATCCACTCGATGCGTCAAACGAGTCTTCGCTAGTTACTGTTGAGTCTTTTTTAGACGAACAACAGAACTGGCCAGACCCTCGACTACCCATATATTTTTCAAATAATGTGATCACACAACCCAATAACGTACCATTTTTCGAGACCAATACAATTAAACCAGCTGAACAAGTTACTGTGGTTCTACTCGACCTCAGCCGATCAATGTTCGACCATAATGTTGGCGATGATGATAGAACAGGAAAATGCACACATATCAATATGTGCAAAATGATGTTGGGTACGTTGAGTGATAACATGTTGCCGAAGGACGAAGTTCATGCATTTGGTCTCATTGAATTTGGTGAACGTGTCAAAGTAACTTGCCCAATTACCCGAGATCGAAATAAATTTGAAAAAGCGCTCCAATCTCATATGCTTTTGGGTGAATGGACCCACATGTATGATGCTGTCAATGAAGCAGTACGCAAGATTAATGTATACATTAATAGTCCACTGAGAGCAGGGAAAAATTGCAGAAAACTAATCATTTGTTTATCTGACGGTGTCAATAATGCCGGTCCGACCACAATCGAAAGTCTATACAAACAAATCGAAGAACATAATATTGTAATTGATTTTGTTTCATTTCTTCGTGATGACCAACTCAACGACGAAAAGAAAAATAATTCAATTAGGAATTTTCGTCAACTATGCATAAAATCGGGCGGCTATGTCTATTCGAAGCTTCATTATCGATCAAAAATTGAAGTTGCAGGAATGTTCGAACAAGAAGCTGCCGTGTGGCTTTCAAAAAGAGCCAGAGAATCTCGTGGGGTCGTTGAAAAACCAGAACGCCATGTTAACCCGATATTTCAGCGCTTAGCAGTTCGTCAAGTGTCTAACAATACAAACACCCAAAATTCATCTCGTTTAGTTCGTGTTTTCAAAGAGCTTACTGTAACACAAAGTCATTCATCGAATGAATTTTTTGTTTTCTCCATCCTTGACAATATTTCATTTTGGAAAGTCATTTTGAAAGGACCTCAACAGACTCCTTATGAAAATAAGTACTGGATGATCTACGTGAGTTTCGATTCAGGCTATCCGAGCTATCCACCAAATGTCCGGTTTATGACTCCAATTTATCATGTGAATATCAGCGGTGATGGAAAGATTTGCCATCAGATTTTTAATGAAAGTTGGGCTGAACCGACCAAAATGACGACGGTATTCAATAGTATTATCGATCTTCTCAAAAAGCCTAATTTTAGCGAAGCAGTTTCAATTGAAAAGGCACATTTATATAGAGATGATCCAAATGAATACGAAGAGCAGGCGAAAGGGCATGCAATTAGGTTTGCAAAGAGCGACATTGAAAGCCTGAAAAGTGAATATCAAATTAACGATGATGAAGAACTTATTGAAGAAGTGCATCAACAATCATAATATTTCTCCCAACGTATTTAGAATGAGTTAAAACAAGAACACATTTCCTTGGCATTTTTCCAATAAGAGTGAGCTAATAAAAATAAAATTTGACTGTGGGTGGGTATAGGTATGTGGTGTGGTTGCAGATGAGTTGGTGTGACTGTGTGGGTGTCCTTATGTCATAGAAGAAGCGACATCCACACCCACATCCTTTCGAATATGCTGTGTTGAATCAAGGCTTGTGTTGTACTTATGCAGAATTGTCTTAGATTAGAAAAAGTTTATTTTTCAGATTGTTTCTTACGGTCTGCTATGGCAACAAAGGCAAACGCTAATTCAAATAAAGGAAAGCGAAAGTTAGCACTCGTTATCGGCATAAGCAAATATAAAAACCTGAAAAAACTGCCTAATTCAGAAAATGACGCCTGCTGCATGTCATCTGCACTGAAAGAGATTGGTTTTACTGTTACACTGGCATTAAATTTGAAGTATGATGAGATGAAAAGCGCTCTGAAAATATCCGAGGATTCAACTGAGCACGGCGATATGATTCTATTTTATTTTGCTGGACATGGCGTACAATGGCAAGTAAGTATCTACATTAAAAATGTGAAGCTAGCTTAACTTATCATGCAAGCTTGTCTGGTTTTTTAGGAGTCGAATTATTTGTTACCACAAGATGTTCCACACTTGGCTAATGTTGACTTGAACAAAAATGCATTTAATGCACAAGAATATCTGTATGCTTTAGGCGAACGAAAGCCATCAACAACAGTCTTTCTGTTGGATTGTTGTAGAAGCTATCATATATCTGTGTCCGAGTTAGGAGAGCAAGCTTTGAATCAAAGTGATTCCAGATTAGATCACTTCAAGCCGATGCATATGCCTGGCTCATTGATTGCTTTTGCTTGTGCTCCCGGAGCCGGAGCTTCTGATGGAAATGGACACGAGAACGGCCTATTTACAAAACATCTTCTCCGTCACATTACAACTCCCAATGAAGATATTCAACTGATATTGCGTGATGTTAGAAGAGAAGTTATGCAGGAGTCAAAATCAAAACAGATTCCTTTTCTGAGCGATGGATTATTGGAAAGAAACATATGCTTATATGGTCAATCACGCTGTAAGCAATGCATCTTAGGTCGCATTTATGTGAATTATTGAGTATTCCATTTTAATTAACGCGAAGTTTCGAGTATTGAATATCCGTGACCACAGATGCAATTGGTCTCTTAGTGACAGGACAGTCGCAATTCTGCACCAAATGCCTCTCGGTAATAGTTCTATTTCAAAATGATGACATTGGGCATAGTCAATTTAGAAAATAGGTCAGTGGGTATTCTCTATGCAACAGTAAGAGTAAAAAAATAAAAACAGATTAGTCAGTAATGATAATGACTTTCTGTCAGTTACTGACCGGTTTACATGTTACCGAGCGGTAACCGGATCGATTCCACATCGGCTCTTTAGATCTACTAGCTATAGTCTCAATGTGGAATCAGAAGCAGAACAATAATAAAAGCAATCTTTTGTAAAGTATCTAGTCGAGTTTGAAGGATTTAGAATCATTACTGCCATAATCTTGTTGAAGTAGTTACGTGTTCAATAGGTGATACGATCGAACATATTAATACCAAAAGTTTAAGGACACTGCGGGACTGTTACTTAGTCTATCTATTTTAACCTCATTTCAAAGTAGTGCCCACATTTGAGAACAGTATAAAGCTAAGGAAATTTGAAGAGTTGACGATACTGTGCCGATATTGATGGCACGCTTCGATGATTCTCCTTCCTCTTCCTTCTATTCTCTTTCCATTATTATAATATATCTCTCTCCTGTCTCTCTTCTATCTCTCTTCTATATATACGTGTGTTATGTATGAAGTTGTTACACTCTGGATATGTGAATAAACGAATAAACATCATTGCCGTGAGTGGCTGTAAGCTACTCCACCTCTATCCAGTTTGTCAATACGATATAAACTCAACAGAGTCTTATTTATCGTTACAGATACCAGCGTTTTAAATAAAAAAAGAGTAAACGTGTGATGTTTTTCAACATTGGTAAAAATGCTCTATTTTTTTTTATAGCATCGAAGTTAATTTTCCACTAGTTTTATCAGAAACATAATTTCTGATTATCAACAAAGTCAATAAAATTGTCAAAGCATATGATAATATACGGTTTGAAATTTAGATAAAGCGCGTGACTTTCTGCAAATATCTGATGATGATCTCAAACTTCATGAGAATATTGGTGATGGAGCTTTTGGCATAGTGTATAGAGCAACGTGGTTAAGCACAAGCCATATAGTTGCTGTCAAAAAATTACACGTTAACGAATTCTCCGATAAAGCCACAAGGGAGTTTTTCCAGGAGCTTTCATTATTGCACACTCTACGTTCTCCATACATCGTCAATTTCTATGGTGCATGCATGGAAAAAGGAAAATATGCACTTGTAATGGAGTACATGTCTCTTGGCTCATTATATAAGATGGTACACGAAGATAAGCTTGCATTAACATGGGCTGAGCGATTATCAATTGCCTTGCAAGCAGCTAAAGGAATCAATTATTTGCATCAGTTGCAAGAGCCTATTATACATCGAGATATAAAATCATTGAACCTCTTGCTAGAACGAGCGTACGAAGGATATATCGTGAAAGTGTGTGACTTTGGTGTAGCTCGAACACTGAATGAAACAGCACGTCAAACCAATTATAAACCTACAAGAGTAATTACGTTGCCATGGAGTGCACCTGAAATTCTCCGCGTGGAACAGCACACAAAAAAGAGTGATATTTATAGTTTGGGAACAATTTACTGGGAGTTAGCTGCATTCAATAAACCATATGAGGGTCATGCAGATGACGTTATTCGGGCATCCGTTCTTGCTGGTGACCGCTTGAGAATACCAGAAAATACGCCATCGAGATTTTGTGCGGTCATCAAGAAATGTTGGGCTCAAAATCCACAGGATCGACCAAGCAGCTCTGAAATAATCCAAATGATTGAACAATGTATCCCAATTGAAGGTAATCTATTTTCATTCTTGCTCTCTTTTGACAAATGTGATAGAGAGGAAATGAGAATGCACTAAACGAAGAAGAGGCCACAGCTTATTGACAGTAGACCGCGAGAATATAATAGCACATATGTGATTTTACACGATTAATGTTTTTCATCACGTGCCATTACAGTATTCAAAAAACTGTAGTGTTCTGCTTCCTGAAGGTGCGCGAGGAACTTAACTTAATGTATTTCCACACGTACTCTCCAGACATAAGAATTTCGTTTTTTGTTCTATTTCAGATACGCCGAAATTGTCAAGCTATAGACAGGTCTCGGCCGTTCCGAACTCAAGAGCGAAGCCCTTACAATCACCATCTCAAGTGAAGTTGAAACCACCACCAAAATTAGGTATACCATATTTAACAGTGCTCATGTCATCAGTTAACAGAACATCGCAAACGCTCGTATCTTACATTTACTGCTACGCGAAAAGAGTATCTCTCGATTTTTTATCATTCAAGATTCCAAAAAACTCTTCTGTTGAGTTTGCGGTATATCGCGTTTTCTTTTTAAACACCCATATCCCTATTGTGAATTAACATGCCTTATTACATCTTTCCTAAGATCTATTCTAGCAGTAAAGCCCCAGTGAGTTTAGAATGTTTCAATACATTGCTGTGCATTTGAAATTTAATTTGAAAATTCATTCTGTAACTTTTACTAGCTCTTCAACACAAAATACTCGTGTTTTGGTAAGTCGATATTAAGAAAACAACTGAGTATGATCATGGATCAAAACAAGATATTAGGCAAGTCTCTATGTATACTTTAGACAGTTTGAAATTTTATATAAAATGATAGAATTTCATGAATTCTAACGAGATGCATCGAGTCACATAAGCTTTTCTCATTTCACACTAAGCGTTCTTCTCTTAAACGATTTTAAACAATTGCGAAAATCAATACCGGAAGACAATATATGATTGTATAATTGAACTCCTCTGCTATCATTTCATAAGTAGTCGGCAAAAGCATTGCTTCGTAACAATCTCTGTAGCTTTTACAGGGCAAGCTAGTAGTAGTTTCTTAGTGTCTGTGGGTATAGGCGGATGTAAGCCTTTTTTTAATACATTCCTATGCACAAATTTTTTAGATAACGATGTTGCTTGTTTCGTTTTAGATGTAGCGAAATCACCTCAGGTCAAACCCATTTCGGCTGTTCCCAAACCAAAGATGGAGCCCTCAAAAGTATCAAATGAATTGAAATTAGGTATGTGACATAGAACACAACAATTCTCTAATTGAAAAGAAATCGATTTCTCATATCCTATCCTACGTCGTCAATACTTGAAAGAGAATCTTTTGTTGCTTTCAGTGATCAAGGTTTTACAGTGCTCCTCTGACGAATTTACAGGTCATGATGATTTTTTTTCAAACTCAAATGTTTCTTTCATGAATAAAGTACCATGTTACTTTTTTTCTAGCAGCATTTATATATAACTTAGGTCGAGACATCCCATAATTCAAGCATATTTAGACATTCTGCTACATATTTTAAACTTAGTAAGAAAATGAACGTAAATCCTTTTACGAGCATCAATAGAATATGCTAAACACATACATATCTACACAAAACTTGAGCTACAGATTTCCGGCATAATAGATGTTTCAAGAGTTCTCGACAATATGAAACTATACCATTACGCACTCCTGATGTCCACGTACTAGGTACTCATTTCAGAGCATTTCCAACTTTGTGATATGGTTCTAAATTCAGAAACTTTAGAATTAAACTATCCTATGGACGTGTTGTGCCGATATAAGCACTCGTTCTATCTTAATCAATGTACATAACGACTTTCTTCCTCATTGTCATGTGTATTCTCTCTTCCTCTTTGTCGTGTTCTTTCTCGTTCTCTCCGGTTGAGTGACGCGCCCCGGAGAAAGAAAAGTGTAACTATAAAAGGAGAAGGTTGATTGAAATAAAAGAGCTCGATATCACGAGAAAACATTCTTATCGTTACACGTGTCAGAAGTGATGACCAAAGTTTTTTTCCCCAGGGAATGCTGTAAGTTTCACTTGGAAACTCATTCTTCGAAGACATTTTGAAAAATTGTCGGGAGCACATCAGCTCATATCAATAGAGGTGCATGAATTATAGATATATACCTTCAACTAGGAGAGTTTTTGCTTTGTAAAAGCACTTCTTTACAATGTGGGAGTAAAGTATGGGTGTACGAATATAAATGTTATCTTAATATAAGCCTACATCTCGCAAAATATTAAGCCCTGCACGCATATCTACCACTATACTCCATGGCCACACCAAGACCTTAGTCAATAAAGAAAATCGTGCTTTGACAAATTATTTCCTTGGTTTTGTATGGCTCTCAGTCTATTGATAGAATATGTAAAGATTCGTGCTTTCCCTTCATAATTTCATCGGAAAGAAGAACTCTATTTAGAATCATTCCATCTGTATCGATCACAGTGACGTGAACATCGCTGAGACTTCCATCTGAAAGCTCAACACAGACAAATATCCTCATCTCCTCTCGTGTGCACTAAGACGAGAAAGATGAATGCTTTAACTCTACCACTCTGTCTGGTATATCCCCAAGAAAACAGAGAAATTTATAAAGATTGAGAATCTTTTTGATCGAATAGTATATTACTCGTTTGCATAAAATCATAAGAGAAGAGTTTATAAAAATACAACATCTTTCACTACTAGAACGAGAAAAGAAAGAAAGACAATACATTATTTCTTTTGTATCACGGTCCTCAGTCTACATTCTCCCATTCAGTTATGGAAGCGAATAATAATGAATATTTCACTCTCGCTCTTTGCCTTGTAATTATAGCCACGTCTAGTATTTCAGTCAATTCTCAATGGGCACAGGATGGAGTCACAGTTGCTGGAAACCACGAATGGGGTGATTCTGGCAATCAACTCCAGCTGCCTGAAGGTCTCTTTGTTAATGATGATCAAACGCTGATCATTGCTGACTTCGGAAATCATCGTATTATCGAATGGAAAGTGGGTGAAAAGAGTGGACAAGTCGTTGCTGATGACAGTTGTAAAAGAATTCAATTGTGTCAGTTGAAATGGCCAACAGATGTATTAATCGACAAACAGACCGACAGTCTCATTGTTTGTGATCATGGAAACCGACGAGTCGTGCGATTGCCTCGCCAGAGTGAAACAAGTCAAGGTGAAATCCTCATCGACAACATCTATTGCCGAGGATTAGCTATGGATCATCATAGATATCTCTACGTCTCTGATTACAAAAAACATGAAGTAAGACGGTATCAAATAGGAGATAAAAATGGAACTCTAGTAGCAGGCGGCAATGGAAAAGGGATTGGGCTCAATCAACTCAACTTTCCAAGCTATATCTTTGTCGATCGACAACAGAATGTCTACGTATCAGATAAGGAGAATCATCGTGTGATGAAATGGAATAAAGATGCAAAACAAGGGATTATCGTCGCTGGAGATCAAGGCGAAGGCAATGGTCTGAGGCAATTGTCAAATCCTCGAGGACTTTTTGTAGATACATTGGGTACTCTCTATGTAGCAGATTCAATGAACCATCGAGTGATGCGCTACTCGCAAGGTTCAAAACAGAGCGCTGTTATTGTGATTGGGAATGGTCGAGGATCCGAAGCTAATCACTTGAATGAACTTGGAGGTTTATCACTCGATTCTCGTGGCAATCTCTATGTTGTTGATCATTATAATAACCGTGTACAAAGGTTTTCTCTAGAATAAATTAATAAAAAGCTTGCTAGTTCAGCTCCTTTAGGGATAAAATGTGGAGCGAACGTACATCTCATATATTTACTAAGTTAGTGAAAAATACCTCAAGTGGCAAATATACTTTACTGTTGAAAATCAATAATTAGGACATACCCTATTTCTCTATGAATGTAATGGGATGTGGGTGCTACCATCATCTACACCGACACTCTCAAATATGTTGAATGCGAGTATAGTTGAAAAAAGAGAATCTGTCATTATATTTATTTAAAATCACAAAGAAAAAGAGACAAAAAAGAAGGCAACCGGGTTAGTTTTAAATGTCAAATAGCAATAAAGAATAATAATACATTTTAGTCGATCTGTTGATAACTATCAGATTTCATTGTTAATAATTGTTGTTTTTCACTAAAGAAACTATTTAATTGATAAAATGAAGGCCGATTGTAATCAGATTTATTCCAACATGATAATATTAAATCAATTAAATCATCGGCATACGATGGAATAATTAAATCGTGATTAGAATTTCGTAAATTCAAAAGAACTTGTTCATCATCAAATAAACAATGTGGTCGTTCAGCCATCGTTAAAATTTCCCAAAGAAGAACACCAAAAGAAAAAACATCCGATTTTGTTGTGTAACGATTCTAGAAGAGAAACAAAATAGCGTTCTTCTTTTCTCACAGAAAAAAATTTTCATCTTACCAAACAAATTGTTTCCCAAGCACACCATCGAATAGGCCGTCGAGTTTCTATATCATTTGCAACTGTTACTAATGCATAATCATCGGCATACATTTCGTTGCACATTGCTAAATCTTGTAGTTTAATCTTAAGATCAGTTGTTACTAAGCAATTTCGTGCTGCTATATCACGATGATAAATATTCAGTGATTCTAAATAAGCTAATGCAGACGAAATTTGTACAGCAAAAAATACTGTTGTAGTATAGAGAATATTTTCCATGGGTTGCGCTTGTTTATAATGTTGAAGATATTGATAAAGATCAATGGTTGTAGCATCTGAAGATTCGATTAATAAAGATATACTTGGTTCAGAACAAAACCCATAGGCATGAATAATATTTGGATGGCAAAGAGTTGTTAACAGGCTAATTTCATTGAAAAATGATATTCTAAAATCGTATAAGAAAAGCATTAAAATGATCGGTTCGAATAATTTCAATTTACTTCGACTGCACAGATGCATTGGGGAGCAGGCGACGAATAGTGATTGGTATTACTGATTGATTTACTTGTAATTCACCTTGATAAATCTAAAGAAGAAATCATTAGTTCGAAGTGTGAAACTCAATAGTAGATTAAGGCAATATTTACCTCTCCACCACCAACAATTTGATGTTGATTTTCTATTCGTTGTTTTATGTTAATATTTTGACTGGACACAAATTGACTTTGTTTTAAATCCAAAGTAAATAATCTTCGTGTACCAAACGAACTATTACCACAAATACTTTCGATATGATGTTGTTGAATTATCGATGGTGATCGTAATAGACTTGTTGTAGACACTAATTTCGTATAATGACTAGGGGATCTATCTCCATTATTACAAACAAGATACGGATGAATACTGGATCCAATAGTCGCATAACGATGATGTGAAGATCCAATATCAATTTCACTTGATGTTGTCGATGCCGATGATTCCGTTTGATTATGTATTGGTGAAAAGTATCTTTTTTTAATATTTGAATTCCTATAAAAAATGCATCGAGCAAGACTAAACATTAATGTAAGCATTAGAATAATTAATATAGTTAACAGGCAAATAATAATATAACTAATTGAAAAATGAACTGATTCTGATTTAACAATCGAAGTTGTTGGTATGATAAATGAATCAAACGTCATTTCACTAATTAAAATCCAATATCCATCAAAATATAAATGAACTTTTATTTGTGAAGCTACATGATGTTTTAAATCAATCATGATTGGTCGAGCCATTTCAAATTGATCATCACGATGATGATTATATGTTACCGATGTGGTTTTATTATTATTATTGAAAAATTCAATGACGGCCGAACGAAATGCATAAATCTTTTTTGGATAATAATTATTCGCATGGATTGTTACACGAGAAAAATTTCTTAATGCATCAAATTTAAATAATATTTCAGTTGAATGGTTATGCTTGGCAGAACGTGGTTTTCGCCAACCAACCTTTAAAGAGAAAAAAATATAGCGTTAGAAATATAAATTTCCCGAGAAGTTATATAGATAGACGTGTTGAAAGAGTCTAACGTAAGATTGATAGACTTTTCTTTTTCCTTCTTCTAATATAGAAATTGACGGAACCGGAAACGGAAATCATTTTTTTAAAAGTTAGTATATTTGTTTTTAATATTCAGAGTAGTAAATTACCCATTGAAATCCATTGAGATCTTCATAATTATCGGGTCCTGTTTGTCCATCTGATAATTGGCCGAGGCCATCTTAAATTTTAAGAAAAAAATTCATTTGTTTAAAATTTTATCGTAAAACTATTTTCTTTTCTTACCATGTAAAAACCGATGTTTTACATTGTATTGTCCATCGTACGTATCATCTTCGAGTTGATGATGGCCTTGTGACATACTATACGATACAACACCATCAGTAAATATACAACCGAAAAATTCCAATTGAAAACACGAATTTTGTTTTATTTGTTTTATATTCAATCGAATATATTTAACCATGACAGGTGGATCAAGTTGAATATTTTCTTCTTTATTATTTAATAGGCGATACGAACGCCATGTCGTATATTGATTAATTGAATTATCACGTGTATATTCAAGATGATAGTATATATCTGATGATATCGTTTTTATATTCAAACGTGTTACATAAGTTAAATTCGATAATGATATAAGTAAATAGGGTTCATTCTCATACGATGATGGACACCAATTATTTGATTTTATATCGGCACTACTGGTCATAATCTTTGAATTATTTATAAGTGGTATTTGACATGAATTGATACCTTCTATCAAATGGATAAAAGAAAATTTCTATTGATGTTCTTCGTTTAAATTTCTATTTTACTTACTTAATTCCATTGAATTAATAAAATCTCCATAGTGAACGATGAGTATGAATAAGACTATTCGCATGTCTATTCAATCAGAGAAAAGATACATATGGTATATAAATCTAAAACATCAGATTGATATTTATATATATGTATATAGGAGAAAGAAAAATCGAATTAATTATCGATCTTAACAGGTGTTTGTTAGTATTAAGACGATCAATTCTTGTCGTTTTATTATTACCATTTATCACTGTTTGTATCAAGTGTAAAATTTCAATGGTGGCATCATGATAACAATCATTTTTGTTTCTATCCTGCTGAGTGACGACGACATGTTGATTAGATTACTTAACATGGGAAGCAAATCGAAATTAATGACAAGAGCTGAACTGTATTCAAAATGATATTATAATCTATATAGGCTTTATACTCAATGTATGATGTGAAATAACTACTACAGTAGTGATATTACGCAAAGTCTTGATAAATGATTTCGTTTTGCGATGTACATATGTATACGTAAGCGTGTATAAGATTAGAAAGTGGAGAATGAAATGAGGAGAGAAGAAGAAAAAACGGCCGAATACACGCATATACATGGATATTCAATGCACGGTTGACTCACTGACCGGTGAAAATGGATTTAATTTTTGATTTTCTTATTCTCCGAAGTAAAAAAAAAGTCGAGAATATTTTGAGATAGATTCATTGATATGCTAGTCGAACGAGAATAACCTTGATGACCGACACACACAGCAGGCACAAAAAAATGATTGATGAGCCATTCGAAAAATGGCCTTTTAGATATGATGACTGCCTATTGTTGTAATTAGCCGAAAAACTTTCTCAACTTACTGACCTATCAAAAGAACTACATACAAGAAAGACAAAAGATAATTGAACATTAGGAACAATCATTCGTGCTCAGTTTAAGCCTGATTAGAAGATTAACCTTGACATGGACTCTTATCAAGTTCTAAATTATGATAGACTACATGTCCGAAACCGATAATGAACAATAGACTCGAGAAAAAAGAAAAGAAAATTTGACTCTTCAAGAAGCTCTTCATGTCTGTATGTATACATATATTTACTCACTCAGCATTTGTTCTGATTCTCTGTCTGTCTGATTGTATGTTCATCATTCTCTTTCTGTCGAAGACAATAGAATGAAACAATTATATCATATGACTATTCACAATCAATCCTCATTTCTATTTGAAATATGATAAAAGAGAGAGAGAGAGAGAGAGAGAGACGGCACTGCCAAAAAAATTCTTTTTTTTTTGTTGTATAATAAATTTTATTTTATCTTACTGGTCAGTTGTCTAGATGATCTCAAGAGAAAGCAATTTGTCTTTTCTTCTCGCTAATTTCATTCTAACACGCTAAGTTAATCATTTAAATAAATCTTTATTACTACATGTTCAAGACTTACAGATAAATGAATAGTATAGTGAAAATCTACGATAGGCAGACAGTCTCAAGGTAATGATGAGACATAATCTCAACAAAAAGAAAAATTTTCTATTTACATTCTACTTATATAGATGACAAAACTGTCTGTAAATACATGTTTACAATTAAAATGAACTTTCGAGGTAGATTATAACATGGCCTTTTCGTAACTTATCTACATAAAGTTTGATGAGAGAAAAAAAGAAAAACGATTTGCGCATGTCAACTCGCATAATTTTAGCTATTGTTCGCTGTTACAAGGCACACAGAAGTTAGAGATTCTAATTTCAATGAAGTAGCATGCACATATATGTGTAAGTGGTGCTCGAAAATTTACTTACACAATAAAATATATTCACCTTGGAATAAAGGATGCAAATATTTAATATGGCGAATATCCTCCTTTTTCTTCTTCTCTTTTTTCATTTACCTGTCTATCATAAAAATAAAAAGCCGAGAGAATGAACAATGTTATATATTGTTCTTTTCTCTCTCTCTCTCTCTCTCTAGTCATCAACAAGACGAAGAGGAAAAAGAAGGAGAGTCTAACATGATGATGAACACTCGTCTACAAGCAGTTCTGGTTAAGAACAAAAAGAAAATTATCTCGAGCGGATATAAATTTGCGTGCTGTGTTGAATAAAATCTAAAACGAAGGTTCATATTAATAACAAGAAAACAAATGGAACAAACACCTGCCCAATGGCTCGTGCATAGAGAAAATTGTTCGAACGTGAAATTTAATTCATAAATTAATGTCAGTATGTGATGGCTATTTACAAAAAAAAAGATAAAAGTCTTTCTTTTTTGTTGTATGAAGATTAAAGTCAAGCTGACCCGCATTCTGTTTTCTTCTCTCTCTTCATTATCATCGCAGACAGATGGACAGTCTCAATCTAATCGATGCAATTAATGTCGCCTACAAATGATGACGACAACAACATTATCGACACGATCCATAAATTAGAACCGAGTGTCTCAATGAGATAGAAAAATTGCGCATACAGACACAGTTCGTTCATGTAGAAAAAAATCTCTATGTACTAAATTAAGAACATGAGTGTTATTAAAAAAAGAAAGAAATTGGCATCTGTCCTAAGTCTCTTATATTCTTACTTGTAACGGTATGACCTTGTTGATTAGTTAAACGCAATGTCAATGATATGAGAGAGAGAGAGAGAGAGAGAGAAACAGATAAGACGAATTTATTATCTTGAACAGAATATTTATTTCTGTGTACATAGTCACAAGTGCGCCAAACGTATTCTTCTTATGATAGATTGATTTTAACTTTGTGACTCGTACAAAATTGATAACGACCAAGCGGAAAATAAATGAATGCCACTGATGATAAAGAAAGATATATGTTTGTTGCTTTTTATTTCAAGTATGACATTACCCTCTCGAAAAATCAATCTGATTAAAATGTTCACATACATCATTCTACTTTTCTTGAACAACTTATGCTTTGTTTCGTTTGCCTCAAGCGGCATACACATTTCTTGATCTATATCGAGAGCAATGGTCAAGAGTAGAAACGGAAATGGAACACGCGCATGCCCGCGTTGTCCATTTCATTTATATCTTATCATTTTACATCCATTCGTTTTCCTCTCATCATTATCACATATAATATATAGTCGGTTAGGCTGCCGGCTACCATCAGTATTAGTCTCATGTCTAAATTATTTACATTTCGTTTTGCTTGTTTCTATGAAGTCGTTCAGTCAACTGAGAAATCATGACAACGATGAGGTGATGAATGATATTTTCTGAACTAGCAAATCGTTTAGTTGGTTTCCTATGATATAATATCAAAACGATAGATGTGCATAACAAGTTTTCTTGAACAATCGACATTTATAATTAAGTGAGGATTTATATAAACGATGTTCATTAATATAAGAAATAAGAATAAAAACATGACATAGGGCATATTGTATTTCTAAAAATAAAACCGACTCGTTATTCAATGATCGATAGTGTAAAGACTATTAAAAAGAAGCTCTTCTATTAATTTCAGTTTGGCATTACATGAAAAGCCCGCAAAGAATAAAACACATAGAAAATTCATTATCTTCAATTGCCTTGAAGACAAAGAAAAAATGATTTATTGTTGGCTCTTTTAGAGAATTAAATTATGATGTAGACATATTTTCTTTGTTAAAATGCCATATTATGATGATGAAGAGGCGAGAAAAAAATCCTCATAAACTATCTTCGACACTAAGCCATTGCCTTGAAAAGATTGGTCTTCTTTTTCTAAGAGCGATTTATCTCAGATAAAGGTCAATCAATTTTCAAGTTTTCTGATGTCAATCAGAAGTTTTGTTTATATTTTTCACTTGATAATTGATTCGCAACCATATACATCTATGGAGAGATCAAAGTGACATCGTTTCTTAATGACGACCTTGAACTATATCAGCGCGTGTGAATTATAAAACTATTTATCCTACACTTCTATGATTGATAAAACTCAATTTTTTTAATATTCCTAGTATGACAGTTGATGGAGTTTGTCAAAAATAATTTACATTCCCGACAATAGGTTCTGCTTTACTCCACAGCGCTGTTTGACAGTCAGCGCCATCTATCCTCTGATTTTTTCTCTGTATGATTGAATATCGTTTAGTCCAATACTGCTGATTTTGGATGTATTTATTATATATTAAAAAAAAAACTCATTTTATTACTGCTACTAGTGTGATAAAAATGCTTCGAATTTACTCGAGTAAGATACTCTTATCTTTGCCAAGAAAAACTATTCTTTTGTATTCTATAGATCATCATGCATTACGATCGATTTGTCGATCGATGTCATCATTACCAAAATATGAAACATTGAAATTAAGTCAACCGAAACCACATGTAACTCTCGTTGAATTAAATCGGCCAACTAAACTTAATGCTATGAATAAGGAATTATTCGAGTGCGAAATAAAATATTCTTGTTCAAGTATCGCTAATGAAATCATAATAAATTTCTTTTTCATAGGGAATTGAAAACATGTTTTGAACAATTGAGCATTGATAAGACATGTCGAGCTGTTGTATTAACTGGTGCTGGCAAAGCATTCACTTCTGGTGAATTTTGTTTTTGTATTGAATTCATTGAAAATTTTAATTTTAAAAGGTATTGATGTTAAATATTTATCGACTGTTGCCATTGGTGAACTCAGCCAAATCGATGATTCAGCACGAAAAGCATTACATCTTCGTCGTATGATTAAACGGACGCAATCATGTCTACGAGCAGTCGATCAAGTTAATTCGAACTAAAGAGTATTTCATTTCGATATCAATAATTTCGATTTCTAGTGTGAAAAACCAGTCATAGCTGCTATTCATGGGCACTGTCTCGGTGCCGGTGTTGATCTATCTGCTTGTTGTGATATTCGTTATAGTTCACGTGATACAACATTTTCAATTAAAGTATTAACATTTTATTCAATGCAAACGATTGCCTATAAATATCTATCGTTTTTAGGAAGTTGATATGGGCTTAGCAGCTGACGTTGGTACTTTACAAATTCTACCAAAATCAATTACGAATCATAGTCTTTTTCGTGAACTGGTTTTTACAGCACGGTCATTCGATACGAACGAAGCACAACAAATTGGACTTCTCAGGTATAAATTCGATGAGTATTTTTCAAAAAAAATAGAATTTTACTGTTTTAGCCGCGTATTCGATACTCGTGAAGCAGTACTTGATGCAGCTATAAATTTAGCCAGTGTCATTGCAAAGAAGAGTCCTGTAGCTATACTTGGTTCAAAAATACAGTTAAATTATGCTCGCGATCATTCATCGGATGATAATTTTAATTTTGTAGTATGTCAATAGTTTAGAATTTCTCTTCATATGATATTTTTCTTTTATATAGAGTACATGGAATAGTGGTATGTTGTTAACTGAAGATATTATAAAAAGTATTATGGCCTCGTCGGTATCAAGTGAAAAAAGTAACAAAAACGCGCCAAGTGAAATCGAATACGAAGATGTTTAAAAAATAAATAATCCTTTGTTTTTCATGCGCAAAATTTTGCTGAAATTTTTAGATGACGTTGGATAGCTGGCTTTAAATTATTTCGATAATCTTGATCGTGGTCAAATTTTGTTTTTTCAGCTAATCGTTCTTGTAATAAACGACTTTCTGCGTCAAGATGTGCCTTTGTACGTGTCATAAAATTATGTCGGTTAGCAAGATGATATTGATTATCGATTGTCAATGCTAATTGTCGACGATCGGGTTCATATTTTTTTTCTTTAATTTCTGAAACTAATTCTTGAAGATTCGACGAAGACGAATCAGAATGAGAACTGTCACCGGAAGTATCTCGTCGTCGTAACGTTTGATCGTGATCTTTTGTATTGAAACTCGTGTATTCGTAGACTGGCTGACATGGATACAATTGGCAATTCTTTGAAAAAAGTCGACATTGAGTTTCAACAGGAGGTAAATTAATGGGTGATGACGGGAGATTTTTTAGATTTTCTAAGAAAATAAAAATAATCAAACAAAAATATCTCTTAGCTCTAAATCTTACTGTTCGTGTATCGTTCTGTGGGATCGATCTGGGGAAGTGTTTGAATATTTTTCTGTTTGATTTGTTTTGTATTTGTCGATAATGAATGACGTTTTCGATCATTTGAAATATGTTCAACAGTTATATCGAGTACATCTTTTCGTTGTTTTTCAAGTTTAACCGATGCTTTTAACCGTAAACGAGTTTGTTCGTATTGACCAATCAGATTATTTAAATTCTGATAGAATTTTTCATCTTGCTTTTGATTTAAATATATTTGATGATGACGTGTTCGACGAGAAACTCGTTCGATGTGATTTAACTGTTTCAATGATTTACTCATCGATCTTTTAATATCATCGTTTTCGTCTTGTAATTCTACTTAAATACCGTTAATGTACTTTGAAGGAATGAAGAGAAAAAAACGCAATAAAAGATTTATTTGATCATTATATTTGCATTTTTAAAACGATGACAACAAAAGACATTTTACGCTGAATTTGATTGTTGTAATGAAATAAGAATCCAAAGCAATGCGATGATTACTTGATGTATGTTTGTACACAAAAATAAAATGCCAATCATCGAAAATTTTAATATTTTTTCTCATGCATAAAATTAAAATAGAAACGAACACGAACACGAAATGTTTTTTTTTGCAGTATTGATTTTGCCTTTTCTCTCTCTCTCTCTCTCTCTAGATGGTAGTATGTTTTCAATATAATCGTTTGTTTTTATTCAAATCCATTTTAACAAACGTATTTCCTTCCTATAAATGGTATTCTCGGACACCAGTAGCGGTTCGTTATCGGGCGCAATCGAAAGCATTAATAAAACAAAAGATCGATACGCCAGAATATCGAACTTTATTAACACCAAGTCTATTGAAATTAGTTGAACTATTTAAATCAAATCAACATGAATTACGTGTTGCAGGTGGTGCTGTACGTGATATTCTAATGGGTATTAATCCGCATGATGTAGATTTTGCTACAACAGCAACACCTGAACAAGTCAAAACGATGTTAAACGAAGCAAATATACGACTGATTAATGCGAACGGAGAAAAACATGGAACGATTACTGCTCGTATTGATGATAAGGATAATTTTGAAGTAACAACATTACGAGTCGATTTAGCTACTGACGGACGGCATGCGGTAGTAGAATATACTCAAGATTGGCAATTAGACGCTAGTCGAAGAGATCTTACCATAAATGCTCTATTTCTTGGTTAGTTTTTTCGAATGAATTTGAGAAAAAAATATAACAGATGTGAAAACTCATGTTTTAGATTTCGAAGGAGTTGTATATGATTATTTTAATGGTATTGATGATCTCGAACATCGGCGTATTCGTTTTGTGGGCGATCCTGTTGAGCGTATTCGTGAAGATTATCTTCGTATTCTTAGATATTTTCGGTAAGTGACTGTCTTCGTAGAATTTCATAAGATTTATTTTTTATTTTTTAAAAGATTTTTCGGTCGTCTTGCCAATGATAATGCTACACATGATGAAGAAACATTACGAGCAATACGAGAGAATGCCAATGGTTTACAAAGTATGCAGAACGAAATAAATTTATCTATGAGAGAATTTCTTTCTTTTCTCGTAGATATTTCTGGTGAACGTCTATGGGTTGAACTCAAGCGCACTGCTGAAGGACGCAATGCTGGCTCAGTACTAAGAAAGATGCTTGAACAGAATATTGGTCAATATCTTGGTTAGTTAATGTTAGTTTTTTGTTAATTTTAATAACTGTTGTTATATTTCATATAGGTATTCCATCGGATGTCGATCTAAATCAAATAGAAGATCATTGGAGAAAATGTCATCATGCTAAGCCAGAGGCTCTAACTATTCTAACAAAACTTTTTCGTGATATGAATGAAGTAATTTATTCAATAAGAAATAATCCAAATTCATTTTTTTGTAATTTAGTTATCTAAATTTGAACAACGTATGAAATATTCCAATGAATGTCGTCGTTTATCTCAATTGTTGGTCGCATATCGTGATTCAATATCAATACTTGATCCGTCATCCACCGATCCATTGAAACCATATAAAGATTTACTGATTGATTTATATTTATTTGATCCAATGATAAAAGAAAAAATTATTGAATTACTTAAATATCAATATCATCTTCATGAAGTTCAACAATTAACAGATTGGACAATACCGAATTTTCCGATATCTGCAGGAATGCTTGCCTTAAAAGGTGTTAAACAAGGACCGAATTACAAAACAATTTTGAATGAACTTCGACAAGCATGGAAAAATTCACATTTCAAAGCCACAGAAAATGAATTACTTACTGAAATCTTACCAAAAGTATTAAAAAACTTGAGCACAATCGATCAATCAACAATAATTCATCAGAAGACAATTGTCAATCCACCTGCATTTGCACTTCCGAAAAGACGTAAACATAAAGATGTATCTTCGGATAATTCCAAAAGAACTTCTAATGCTTCTTGACAAGGAAGATTGTTTTTTTTGTTATAAACTATAAAATTGACAAAAAGTATTTGCTTTACGTTCAACGTGAAGGGTGTGGGTGTGTGGGTGGGGGTGTGGGTGTGGGTATGGGCGAACAGTATAACTAAAACCACACCCACACCCAACTAATCAAATTACAATCATACACGTATACGAGCCAATGCCTGTTGAATGTTTATATTCAGACAGAATAACATAAAATTACTGTCAGTCAACAAAATTACCATCACGATCATAATAATCAAGAGCGTAATCAGCAGCATAATCATCAGCACAATTAGCAACATGCATAAACGCAGTAGCAACACTAGCAGCGGAACTCAACTCAGCATCATCGTGAACAAGACGATCAAGATCAGCAGCATGACCAACAGAATAGTCAGCAGCACTAACAGCGTTTAAGAAATCATTTGTGACAACATGGCGATAAAGGGCGAGATAATCAGCAACAAGAAGAGCAAAACGATAATCATCATCATCACGAGCATAATCAAGACAACCATCATATTCATCTGGCTGGGCGTTTTGGTTATCTGTGGCTTCTGTTTGATTTTTTGTTGATCTAGAAAACATATTTAAAGAGATATGAGCTAGACTACTATGTAGCTTCAGTGGAGGGGTTTGATTAGATTTTCTGTGATGAGCTATTCGTTAAGTAGAATTTTGGAAAAGAGGCATTTTTCTTTTATTAGTTGAATTTGGCAAGCGTTAATTTCTATGATGATATGCTTAGTGTGGAAACAGTTTCATTTGGTATCACTAGAGCTTAGTATAGCTTTTATCGAGGAGTAAACAGGTGTTGTTGTAATTGTGGTGGATGGTTTCGTCGCACAAGATTCCCGGAAGGTCGTGAATATAATCCCTCCTAGGAGTAGAAGTTTAACTTTAATTTAAAATTAAAGATTAGAAAATATAGAATCAACTGCAGAATCGAATAATTAACGAAAATGAGTTCGGCGTCACTCTCAAAGTAGGTGATAGGAAAATTTTTTAAAAAGCTTGTTAGCGCAGCCCCTTTGGGGCTAAAATGTGGAACTCACATATCCCTTAGGCTTACTAAAGTAATTCAAAATAGTTCATCTGAAAGAAAAATCTACCTTGATTTCCAAAACCTATAATTAAGCCATTGCCTTTTGACTTATACCTGCAATATAATATTAATTGTTAGCTCGTATATTTAACAATGGCAGAGACTAGTTACTATGGCCTGTAATGGGCAAATGTTGCTTTTTTCGTGTAGTCTGTAATTATAAAAGAAAGAAATAGCAGCATAATTAGTGAAGCTTCTAATTAGCACAATTTTAAACTCACCAATGTCTGTAATGGGGATGGGGTGGGGAGCCGCAAAAATCTTGCTTTTAAACTTAGACTCACCATTTTCTTCGAAAATACATGTGAGTTCCACAAAAGTCAATTTTATCTTTGAATTAAAGAAGATTAAAGACAAAGATCCACCCCTATTGGAGAAACAATTCAAAAAATTTTCTTTCCATGATTTAGTGTGCAGAACCCTATTGTTGAGATCTGGAAACCCGTTCTGTATAACATGCTCATGGAACTCATTATAAATGTTATATTACAATCACAATATTTTTACTTTTGTTGCTAAGTTTTTTCTCAAAATTAAGAAAAATCCTTTCCTTATCGTCTGCAACCGACTCGATTAAAATACAGATTTCCGTCTCTCATCGATAACGAGTGAAATGAAAATCTTTTTTAAAACTGTTTTAATCAAGAAAATCTTTCTGAGAATCTCATTTTCTTCTGTTAACAACTTATTTTGTAATCTGTGGTGAAAATGGAGTCGTTTTAGGCGCCATACTGTTGACGAACTCTGATTTCACACTTACGTTTTGTCAATACTCTTTAGATATAAATTTCTAGCCAATTGAATGAAGAATGCGTTTTCACTAAGCTTGAGTCTCTGTAGGAAAATCTCATTGAGAGATTAACAGAATACTGAGAGTATAATTCTTTATCGTACATGAATACATCGATAGTCAACCACTATTGAATTATATGTTTCTTAATCATCGGTTCTACTAATAGTTACTAAGAAAAGACTGTCACAATTTCATCGCAATTTGAAGAAATAAAAAAATCCATTCATTCAACTTCTATAAAGAAAGCAATTCTTGTTTGTGACAATATTTTAAAACCCAAATGTTCAAGTTTCTTAATTTCTCATTTGTCAAAAATGATACTATGACAGAAAGTCATCGTAGAAAACATTCGTTAGTCAGAGAAAACATGGAAATCGTGCAATCAAGATTTCAGCTAAAAGTTTACACCGCAATGAATATTGATGCTAAAAAATCAAAGATTCAACGAATATGTTGAAAGAAAACTAGTCTAAAATAATCGAATCGACATTTTGAAATCGATTAAGAAAATTTGACGAAACGCTCATGGTAGACACGTAGTTTGTGACTTGAATGAAATGAAGATTTTTTCATAGCAAATAAAATATGGGTTTTCAGATGGAGCAATTTCGGATCAAAATCATATCTTCATTTAACACGACTTGTTGGTACTGGTGTAGTAATGGTTTTATCGATTTTCACTTGGCTACATCACCAACTAGTAGCCTTCTTCAAAAATATACAAATTCAATGTGTTAGGCTCTGTTCATCAGTCAGCCATATTTCCGATTGATGCAGTTTCATTGAAAGGATCTCTGCTCAATATGATGATAACAACTGAGAGTGGGAGGATTTAGAAAAAAAAGCACTTATCATTCTGTAAAAATGTATTGAGCTAATAGAAAAGCATTGCCTCTACTTACCATTAAATCGATGTCGTAGATTTAAATAGATCAAACGTTTCTTTATCTTTTCGTCGGATTTCGCGCATTGAACACTGAAACAAACAGCTGGTATAACAAGTTCTTCCTCTTCATCAGGGTATTGAGATAAATTGCTGAAATCAGCAGTAAAGGCAAATAAGACTTCCATGATAAATAAAGTATTTCAAAACTCTTCTGCTGTTCTACGATTGCGGCTGCACGATGTAAACGCTTGAAATGAGCGATATTCTTTGGAGTACTTGGCCATCTCTTCATAAGTAGCAACTTGCTCGTCAGTCAGTTTGGCTCCTCGATAAAGTGTCATTTTTGTTTTTATTTTAGTATTGAACGGATCATCCCAGAGAAGCAAACAAAACGGGCCCAATGTACGAACTTTACTTCGCCAGATCTTTTCTTGCTCTTCACCACCTATCACTCGCATGACCTCATTCATTGTTCTGTATAAGAAACTCTCTAAGGAGTATAGATAAGCGCAGTTTCCATACTTCCTACATTCCGCTGGCTTTTTTTCTCTGAGCATGTTGGCCAGTTTTTCGGCTTCGCGTTGCTTTCCTATTCGCTTGCCTTCTTGAATAATACAGTCAGCGGCTTTCTCAACAAGCACTAGGACGAGTCTGGCGTCTTTGGAAGGTAATTGTTTCTTTCTAAGATTCAAATATCGTCTCACCTCTATTATGAAGGACGAAATCCAGTCATATTCGCTATTAGCGGGACGTTTCGGAGCAATGGGGTTGATCATAAAACGTTCCTCTCGTAAATGCTCATCTTTCCTATTGCGCTTCATTCGTTCTACAGGTCTTCGTTTGCTTTCATCATCATTAGACATTTGAACCTTATGTTCGAAATCGATGTAGTAGGCATCCAGCATGGCTCTAGGTTGCTGGTTCAAGAATGCTTCTTCGATAATTAGATTTTCGATATCCGAATAATGGCTCCATTCGGCTTTCTTATCTGTTGCTCGTGGGTGTGGATTTGACTTCCATATCCACTCAATACGTTTCGAAGAGTCCGAAGCTGTAATTGGTGCTTCAGCCATAAAGATAACTATACATGTCTGGTTTTAGATTATACAAGTTTTACTCTTATGACTTCTTCTATTTTTATCTGAAAACGTTAAACAATTATAGAATGATGTGTCAATTCACAAAAAAAGAATAAACACTGGTTCAAAAGCGAATAGCATATTGTCTAAAACCGTATCAAAATTGTCATCATCTGCATTTCTACGTTATACAATCGCAGAATTTTCTCACACAACTAGTCGTTCCTCTCACAAAGAATAAAATTGAATCAGTCAATACAATTGAACACAAATCGATAAAGCTGGATGTAAAAGAAAATCTTTGATCTACGATAAAAAAAGAGCTCATTTGATGATAGCTTCTGAAACTTGATTTTGATATATTCTGATACATTTATAAGTGTTGATAGACATCATTTAGTCCTGCAAAAAGTGCTTTGGACAGTGGACCATGTTTAAGCTTCGCTGTATTTTAAATTCGAGATGATTATTTAATGATTGGACATATAATTTCCTGATTCATCTAGTTTATTCTCAGTTTTGTTGTTCAAGATAAATAGATTTAGTTTCAAAAGTAGCATTGGATTGTTTGCAGTGAAAGTGAGTATATATTCTTTCATATTAACTCATATACCTGCTGTTTTTTGTTTTCTTTTTGTCTTTCTGTTTTCTTGCTCGCATTGCAATCAAATCACGCTTGAGACTTTCGGCTATTCTTCAATCAACATTGTATAGGTAGGACGTGTAAACATAAATGAATGAAGACAATATTCAGTTGCCATATCATCTCTAATGAAATGCTAACATTCAATTCCACTCAATATTTTTTCTGGGAAATTCGTTACCAGTCTGATTGTTATCGGAGGTCACATTCAAATAGATCGGATCATGATAAGACACACCCACACCCCTGCCTCAAGGGTTTATGGTAAGGTTGATGCAGCCGCTTATGGACCTCATCAACTGCCTCAAGGGCTTATGATAAGGTTTATGAAGGCGATTGTGGACCTCCAGTATTATTTTCAGGGAGAATATTAGGATCAATAGAGTGATTCAAGAGTACAATGAACTACTTCCAGGCGTCGGAGAATAACTGAATACTTTGTTTTTTCACCTTGGTTGATGATAGACAAATGTCTACGAAGAGAGATGTGCTGAATAATTTGTAGTTTTTATAATTATATGTATCTAACACTCGCTATCTATGGCATTTTATAATAATTAACAAGAGGATGGTAGACTCCCCGAGACTAGAAAAAACCATGTCCGTTATTTTCTCTGCATCTTCAGCTTCATATTTGTCGAAACTCTTACTCGATCTTGTCTTATAATCCAATACTCACTCAGTGAGAAACGAGCGAAACAAGAAAATCTGAAGATAATTCGATCGAGAATCAAAATATAGCATGACCACTGGAGATAAAAATCAAGATGATTAAAAGGAATCGTAGGGATCTCTTTCTAGCAGCGACTAATCACTACAATTCAGGATAGCTAAATTAGCATAAAACTGAGGAGTGAGTAGCGGCGTAACCAGGATTTTAAGCTAGGGGGGGGGGGGCGCGGCCCCAAGCCACTTTAGAATTAATTAAAAACTGAATTTCTTCCACCTTTTTTAGGAGATGTTGTACTTGCTTGATGTTCACTAACATATTTTTCATGTTAAGAGTAGCATTTTAAAGAAAAACAACAATATACACTACATCAATACACAAAACAACAATATACACCAGAGTTGCAACCGGTAGGGTTTTTTCTAGACCGGTACCAGTACCGGTCTAAGCCGATCAGACCGGACCGGACCGGCATGAGTCATAGTTTTTTTTTTTCATCGTATGAGTCACTATTGACTTTTTTCATTTAACATCAGTCATATCTTACTCTGAATCACTATTCCAATTATTTAAGACTTCTCCTTCGTCACTAAGAAATATATTTTTGATAAATACTGATTTAATATAAACAATATATCTCATAATTTTTCTTAGAAATCGTCATTAATGTCATAAAAACTAGCTTGATATGCAAAAATAAACACTTTTATCATCTATTTTTGCAAAAAATAAGGGAAAAAAGCGAAAATAATTTTAAAAAATCTAGACCGGGCCGGTCTGAAAAAGTCGCTTGTACCGGCCGGTATATCTGGCGGTGCCGGTAAGGAATCCTAGACCGGACCGAACCGGCCGTTTACCGTTACCGGTTGCAACTCTGACATAGACGACACCAGCAGATCAGAACTGTTCTTTTTCTTTTCTCTTTACTGTTGTTGATCAAGACGAAAGTTTCGTTGTTGAACAGATGAATGACGATCGATTACTCACATTGTACAAAGACGACATAAACAGAACAGAATTGTTCTTTTTCTTTCTTTACTATTGTTGATCAAGAATAACATCTAGATTGTGTTCTCTAACACAAAAGTCGCTCGAAAAATTAGAATAACATTAAATAACAGCTAAACAGAAATATTTCTAGGGGGGGCTCAAGCAGTTCTGGAGGGGGCTCAGCCACCCCCAGCCCCCCTCGTGGTTACGCCACTAGGAGTGAGTAACTTAGAGGAATGATTTTAAGTAGTTGCTTCAAAGGAATTCTCTGTGATGTCACACGAAAACTTTTACTCACTTCAATTGACGTTGACCGCTTGCAATGTTCTCACGTAAGATATTAAGCAAATAGCACTTGTAATTCAGCACATTCTGTATTTACTTTGATGATTTTGTTTGACGAAACCTAAACATAAAAGCGTGAGTTATTCATAGATGACGATTTTCTCTTCAAAAAGCTCTGATTAAATTGAAGACTTACTAGAAATCAGTACATTGCAGCTACCAATTGACAACAATCGCTGACGCGCATTGTGGAACGCGTCTGAAAGTTCAAAGTAACTGTCACTCACCCATATGCGAAACCTTGCTATTGAATCCATGATTGTAATACCATTGATTGATAAAAGAGGTCTAACCCAAAGATAAAAGAAAAATTATTAAAAAGTGAGCAAGAATCGAATATTAATAACATACTATAAATCACTCAAGTTATCAAGTATCTCCTCTGAATATATAAAGCGTGTGCACCTTCATCGAAACTTAAATTTTACAAATGAAATGCTATTTCCAATTACATAATACTACTACTCATTCGCTGGGAAACTTTAGTAGAAACACTCCCCTCACTGATACGACGGCTACTTATCATCAAAAAAAATACACAGAGCCCATACAATTCATTGTTTTTTTCTCTTCTTCGCCCCGATCAATGCATTGCATAAAAAAATAACGTCAGCATCTTACGAAAGAGTATATAGCTTCTGTAAAAAAAACCAGCTTGTCTAGAAAAAAAAATGCTCATCTTATTCTAGTTCAGAGCAAGTAGTATCATTCTGCAGTTATCGACTGTAAAGTAAGTACAACTAGCTGGGCAAATTTTACACAATTTTGTTTGCTAATCTATTTGCATCAAACGGAAAAAATTCCACCACCTTAAAGAAACCCGAGTCTGTCTATGCTTTTCTCAGGAACTAACGCCTCACCTTAAACCGATCAGAGAAAGCACGGATGTTTGTCGATAAATTGTGAATGTAAATGTTTTCGTGATGATTTACAAAGTTCACCTTCTTTGAATCGATAGAAAAAAATTAATATATGAAGGAATCTTTTCACATATGAACACAACCTTCCACTTATTTTTTTATAGAAATGAAACGAGATGAAATGAAACATCATATTTAACTTATAGTTGGTTGGATAAATCTTTGACTTGAAGCAATTCATTGAGAATGAGCACACATTCATACCAGTTTCAATGCGTTCACTTCTTTATCTAAATAAATAGAACGATTAAATGAAAATAAAACCTTTAATGTACGAAAAACCTTCACATAATTCTCTGGATATGTGAAGAACAAAAATAAAATGAATAATGATAGGTAACTTTAAGTGGGCCGATTAAACTATTGCCGAAGATCAATTGATTGAGAATAACTCCATGTTCTTAACATTTTCTTAAGTTCCTCTTGTTTATCTAGAAAGATAAAACGCTTATAAAAAAAGGAGATCTTTTTATATACGAAAGGGTCGCTGAAATGATTTTCTGAATATGTAAAATTCATACTTAACTTTCATTCGATTGTGAAAAAAATTGATGCAAAGTGGTTGATTCAAAATGAGCACACACTCTCACAGGTTCTGAGAACTACTCGTGTTTACCTAGATAAATAGAATGATTGAATGGAAATATATCACGTCACCAAGAAAAAAATCGTTCCGATAATTTACTCGATATGGCACAACAGGATGAAGTAAAAAAATGTAATTTACTTTGCAATGGATTGCTGAAATGATAGAGATGGACCAATTTATTGAGAACCACCAGTTGTTCGCAGTAATTTTTGAAAGTTTTTCATTTTTATCTAGGTAAAGAAAACGATTATGTAAAACCAAATCTTTTTGTATAGAAAATAATAGGTCGGATAATTATCTCAACATAGAAGCAACGCAATCAAGTGATCCGTCATACTTGACTTTCATTCGCTTAGAGACAACACTGATGTGAAGCATTTGGTTAAAAATGAGCCTCTGTTTGCACCACTTTTTAGAAGTTCACTTGATTATTTAGAGGGAAAACATGATCAGATGAAGATGAATTGTTTCATCTAAAAACATATCGTTCAGATATTTTTCTCGATATGAAAGAAATAAAAACAAAACCAATGTCATACTTAACTTTCAGAAAGTTGATGAAATTAGCGACGTACAGTAATTGATTGTCAATAAGCACGTTGTCGTAGAAATTGCGAGAGAGTTATGCTTGTTTTTCTAGATAAAGAAAGTGATTAAATGAAGAAGAAACGTTCCATGTAGAAAAAACATGCCAGATAACTTTTCAATATGTTAAAGTAAAATCGAATAAAACATCATACTTAACTATCATCAGGCTGAAACAAACATTGACATGACGCATTTCGTAGAGAACGACTAGCTGTTCGTTCTAGTTTCCGAAGGTTTGTTTTTGTATGT